AAAAATGATTTCATGTAACCTTTGAAGTTGAAGTTGTTAATTTCAATTCGACATCTCTGTATGTAATAAAACTGGGAGAAAGAAGCAGCCCTTACTGAGTTTGTTGCCGGTTCTTCTCAGTACAAGGTCTAACGCCGTAGATTTTGTATTTGTATCTATAACATTCTAGACGGAATAAGTAATATTGAATTTCAAAATAGTTGTTTAAATTATAGTAGATAGTGTTTCTTAAGTCCATACTTCTCTCGACTATATATATATATATATATACAAGTTTTAGATTTATTATTAATGCTACCTGTTTAATGTATAATATCAATAATTTCACATAACAAATAACCTCTGTCAGAATACTATGGCAGTTTCGCGGTGATGGTTCCGGAGCCCGACTCCCGTTACGCCGTAACAAGTTACCTACATGTTAGACAATCACTCATGTATCCCGTTGTTGGGTATAATTTATTTACACTTCCGTACCCTATTTCGCACACATATTAGGGTTGCTCATAAAGACAGAGAGAAAACGAAACTAAATCAATAGTACATAGAGCTTTAGTGGAATTATACCTTAAATGCCTTTTCAAGTAAATTTGATTTAGTGGTTCAATCACCACTATGTTGCGGCAGTGTTGTGTTTGTCGCTGCGTTCGACGCTGCATTTTAACATGTCAGTTTAGATATCATAAATTGATATACCATCAAATATGGATATTTGATAGTGCGGATCCGCACTCTGAAATCTAGTTATTTAACACCCGGTTTCTGAATTGAGAGTTTAATGTTAAGAACGCATCAAACTATACTCAAACATTACTTAAACAAGTTTTCGTTGCTGATTTTAGTTTTTTAATGATCAGTTAACAGTTTGATAAAACTTAGACTATATTCTTAATGAAAAATGCACTTGACCCTGGTATTCTGAGATGGAACTCGCAATCCAGGCGACTGTTCTAACCACTGAACTACCCAAGACCTAACAGGACTGACGAATTTTTCAAGCACTTGTTACTTTTTTGCTGCTTCAGAGCGTATTTTCTTCTATGTTCAGGCAATCGACCCAAACAGCCGAAAGGAATATTTTTATAAATATTTAAACTTTCGATAAAGATGAAAATTTGTTATAATTATTATATTAAATTAATTTTGCATTCACAATGCTATATTATATTGAATATGTTAGGATATTACGGTGACTCGGCTTCCCGAGTCTCGTCCTCCAGATGAGGGTACACCGTAGGGGATTTTAGTAGATAGTAAGTCCTCTATGTACCAGCCAGATTGAAAAAACGGACAGAGGAGAGTCCTACACATCCCATTCAGTTACCAGGTGGCAGGATGCCTACTGCCTTTCCCCGACATTATAAATACAATATTTTATGAGTAACATAAACACGTTTCTTTCAATGATTCCTAGAAGATTCACGACTCGAATTTATTTTTGTGTACTCGGAAAGTTTGCCAAATTCTTTGAAGTGTTTGTGATCTGTAAATGATACGCTCTAAGGTCGGCAACCTTTTTGGCAACAGTATTTATGTATTATCTAAGGATATCACTAAACTCGGCTTCGGGTCAAACAAAACATTTTGTTAAAAAGGGATATATCCTATACAGCCTAACCTAAGACAATGTGTATCTTATATTTCTATTGAAACTATTCAAAACGTTGATATTGAACGTAGAAATACATCTTAGGACTTTTTGGAGACAATTAAAACTTGATAATTTGGAATAATCACTCGATGACCTGCTGACGTAATATTAATCTACTTATCTAATAATTTGTTTTAACATCGATAAATCAAAATAATGTTAACGTTATACAAACATAAACCGTTTAGAAAACTACTAATATACATCAGCACAATTCAAATTGAAATCTGCTGGCTGGCAGGTTTACAAATTAACAATGCTTTATTAGAACATTTCAGAAACTTTAATATTACCTACGTTTCTAAAACGAAATATTCAGCGTGATGAAACCACTCCAAAGTTATGCAAATTGGAATTTCACAAATAACATTTACAATTTTTCTTCCGGAATAGACGAATGATAAATATATATAAAAATATTTATATCGATACAAGATGACATAAACAATGATAGTTTACATCGAAATAAAAACTTTTTATCATATTTTTTTATTATGTTCACCGATTTTTCAACGAATTGAAAGACAAATTTCAAAGTTCTTTTTTATTCGACAGCTTAATGGCCTGAGGTGGTCTCATTTAAATTTAATCGAAATCGAATCAGTAGTTTTCTTTTAACAAAATATACTTTTCGTGTTATATCACCTAAATGTTTAGATGACATGTTTATATCAGCGTCCAAAATTTTTATATTGATTGTGAAGTTACGGTTCTACAAATCTTTACTACTTCTAGACTACTCATTTTCAAAAAAAAAACAGCTAATTGACTCGTCTAGAACTCTAAAAAAGCTATTACTTATTTATTTATTAAACTTTATTGATTAGTAATGAAATGGTTTAAAAGAAAGAAGTATAATTTACTACTTACTCCCTTGCATAAAAATCATGGAAACAAAATATTCTATTCCATTATTCTGTTACATATGCATTTAATTCCATTATGTGAGTTGTAAAAAGTCCAATTCAATTCACAATTTGACGAAACACTTCGCAAATGTGCAACTTTAACAAACCTACAGCTACAGTAAATTGCCCTTAGGTTATTAGATACAGTATATAATAAATTACACATGTTCAAGCCACTACTACACTGACATACGTTACTGGCACTAGAAACATAAACACAATTGAATTTTTTATAAGTTGCAATACCGTAACGACTCTACCAGCAGCGGTATCTAGAGCACAATCGGACATTATAAATTATTAACACCATATGCGGTCATTCCAAGCTAGACAAATCTGAGACATATATAAATTGTTTATCTATACAATCTATAGGATCTGAAGGAAAAACATTATTATCACTTATATTTCCATCTAATTTAGGTATGTATTTAGGAAACCAACTTTTTTAGCTCTGAATAAGACATTTATTTATCTAATTATCGATTTTTAATCTTTGGAAAAAAGCTTATATTTATGATATTTGACCAATTTCTCATTCACAATGCCATACTGAAAAATATTCCTAATGAAAAATGCTAAAAACATCCACTTTGTCCCTGGGACTCGAACCCAAGACCTTTCGCTATACGCTATAGCAAAAAAGTAACAAGTGCTTGAAAGATTCGTCAGTCTTGTTACGAATTGGTAGCTCAGTGGTTAGAGCACTCGTCCGTATTGCGAAAGGTCATAAGTTCGATTCACATCTCATAGTGCAAGGGGCATAGTGGATTTTTAAGCGTTTTTCATTTAACTTTTATTTATTTCTATATATTAGCTTTTTGCTTTTTATAGCAAAAAAGGAACAAACAACTGTTTTATAGTCTATCTAAGCCACAGTCTTATAATATAGGTATAGGCTAATTTTACTAATGTTTACGTAATAATTTAATCTCAACTACTTGCATCTTACCGTTGTACTATCTACTTGAAGTCTCAACAATGATAAGATATAATAACTCTTATATAACAATCATAGTTTGAATACAACATAAAAATTGAAGTGGATTAGACAAATATAAGCCATTTGAATATGAAATTTAGCCAAATCAAAAATTGAATTTCAATTTATTCAAAGTTCGTTGAATGACTTCTATTGTATACAAGTCTTCGAGTTCATGTCAGACATTTAATTGTTCAAATTTGCTTTTTCGAGCAAGTTATTTTACTTGTAGAAGTATAGAAATTATTATTTTCAAAGTTCAATTGAAAAAGACCTTTGAATTTCACTATCAGCTTCATTCAACGCCGCGTAACGCTCGTAATTAAAAGCTTGTTCTAAGTGAGCCTCACGTAAAATTTGCTCTAGATTGGGAATATTAATAACGTGATATTGTGGTACCCAATCTGATATGTAGGTGTCTACCATATTTAATGTAATGTACTGATGTATACCTATATGACACAGGTAGTTTCAAGTGTTAGCGCGATTCAATCGCACACAACGCCATCTAGTAATGCGTAAATGCGCTCTGTAACATTACTATTAAAACTTAATTGGGAATACATTTTCGAATCAATAAATCATAATTAAAAACTTCCCTGCTGTTAAACTCATAGCCATTAACAGTAAACGTGACCAGAATACTGAATTAAAAGTTTATAAAGTCACTGATGGAACTAGAAGAAAAATCTAATGCGTTTCAATATACCTAATCAAACCTAGAAAAACGTAGCCAATCTAGTTTTGTGTTTCTTAATAAGTGTTTTATCGAAGTTTGCACGATTTTACCGAAAGCGGCATAGCATGATCCTCTTGATTTTTTAAGACCGCAATGCATTTAAGTTTTATGTAAAGTTGCAATAATAAGACGATTTCTGATGGACCGATTTCTTATTTATCACATAATCACAAATATTTTTTTTGTAAGTGTCACCCTCATATTATTGTAACGTGTCACTTGCGTATCACCTATCTATTTAATTTTACTTGCACGGTATGTGCTCTATGAAAGAATCTTCACGTGGATCTTGGCTAGTGGGGTTCCGATGTCTCGCTCTTAAGTCTGCGGTTCTTAATTAGAGAAATTCTTACCTAAAAAGATTCTTACCTTCCCTGGATTTTTCATAAATTATTTTTTTATAATAGCCAAAATAAGGCACTTTGCCTTATTGAACTGGATTTTTCTGGAATTCAGAATTCCCTAGTTCCATATTCAAGAGAATTCTGATAAGGTGATTTAAGATAACCTCCATGACTGAATGACTCAAATTCAAACACCGTTTCATAAACAGTTGCTATATGTAAGATTTAGGGGTTCGACTCCCGTCCCAATTAATGTCGTAGATGAACTTTAGTATATTATCTTAGGTATGGGTATAATGGAAAACTTTGTTGTCTTAGAAAGCTACAATACCGTAACTTTTTCACTGATTTTTGGACCTGAACAATATCACGTTGTCCAATACCTATTTATTTATTAGGCACAAGAGGCATACTGTACATAATAAACAAAGAGCATTATTATCTTTAGATAACAATACGTAGTCCTTGAACCTTTATAGAACTAGCTAATAAGTAGCTACTTACTGAAATCATGTAGGTATATTATGAACTCTTAATACGGACTATAACAATAGTTGTTGTTGATTGGTTTAGGTTGTTAATTTACGAGTACAAGACTTTTATATAAACAATAAATGTATTATTTTTCTTTTTTCGATATACAGTATCAGAAATAAAATTATTCAAATAAGTATAGGTATATTTTGTCTTTGATCAGCGTAGCTACATTCAATATTTTAACTTCAATATTCTATTTAGGTAAAATAAATATCTAACGTGAATGTAATTGTCTATTAACAAAAATCAGTAATGAGCTCGGCTGTTGCCTTTAAGCAGATTTATTGCTATCTCGACAGCATGTATCGCAGTGCCGGGTGCACACATCACTCCGTAACCGCCGTGTCCATAGCAATGCACCACCTTCAGACCACCCACCATCTCTGGCTCAACACGAACAGGTACCCGATGGGGACGCAACCCCACCTTATGGTCCACAATCTTCGCTTTCTTTAAAGCTGGCAACATTTCGTAGACACGCTCCAAAATGGCCGCAGTGTCATGCTTGTTAACTTCCATGTTATAACTATCGTATTGTCTCACTCCACCCAAAGTAGCCACCCCATCCAAACCAGGAATTATATAAGTATCATAATCACCGTAAAATGCAAACTTCAACCAAGGTGCATGCGCTTTCACAACCTGCCCGCGGATGGGTACCAAGTCATGATCGTTACACAGGTATTTGGCGCCAAAACCAGAGCAATTCAAGACCAAATCGTACTTTGCTAGGGATGTGAAACTATCGACTTTACCATTAACAATGACACCCCCTTTTCTTTTGAATATCTGCTCAAGCCAAGGTAAATGTTTTTCGCAGCCTACTTTTAATGTAGAGAAATACGATCCGTATTTCCAATCGCCATTGACGAGTTTCAACTCGTCTTCTTGCACTGGTCTATAGATAGGTAGGAGATCCTCAATTAAGTGGTTTCTTGTAACGTGATAGTTTTCTTTGGAAAATATGTAACTGTCAAAAGCCATAATGCCAGCGTCGACGGATTCAAAACTTTTTAATATATCTTGCCAGTAATACCAGGATTCGTTGATCCATTTTTTCGTTATCTCCGGCGTAGGCCCTTTGAAACTAGTGCCTGGCCTGAAGATGCCCGCAGCCACGCAACTGGTGGTGTCATGGTGAAATTTCTCAGCAAACAACGTTATATTAGTTTTATCAAGCTTTTCTTGTAATATTTTTGCAACCGTCAAACCCACTATTCCAGCTCCGACCACAGCTATTTTCGGAGAATCTTTATTCATATTTACCTGAAAAGGGTATAAGAAAAGGTAAATTCCAAAATTATGAAAATTGCAGTTCTAAATTACTATATCTACTAATGTAACTACATTGAATGAAGAGCTCTTATATTCTGCCATTACTGCATACTAAGTTTATACAATTCAAATACCAAGATAATGTTATCCTAAAAGCTATGATAAAATAAGCGCAATCACATTAATGTTAAGTAGGCAGGTACACATAAATTGAGAAATAACAGAAATCTAAAAACCAAATAGTAATAAGAGACTAGTAGAAATGAATACTCTGGTCTTAAGTAATTAAAAACTGAAGTCACCAAATACACTCTCTATTTAAACTCGTCTATTTTACTGGCAAGCTAAAGCTCTGGGAAAAGTGTAATTGTTTTGACCTTCGTATTCCATTGTACTACCTAATTGTCATTAGGGATATGTTTAAAATACACGCTCTTCTGTTACGTCTGCTAAATAATTCTCTTTATAAACCTCTTATGAAAATTTAGCAAAATTATTTTTTTTTAGCGATTATATTAAATATAATTGCTAAATGTGTTGTAATCCAAAAGAAAGATCATTTTAAACCCGACCGTAAATATCGTAGTACCCGGGATATCAAAGATGATGAGATCTGCATGCAAGCCACTCTACTACCGAGGTCGTCAGTGTCCTAGATAAACTTCTATTGTAAAGCTAAGGTTGATTTATTCAAGTTCGTATTTTTTCTAAGATTCGTATTTAAGCTAATAACACTTTCTAGGTACACATACGAACCTTTACCAATTGTTTCGTACTATTTTGAAGTAATATCATCAAAATTGTATTCATAAACTATTATAAATAGATTCTTTAGCACTTTTATACATAGTTGTACAATACGAAGTTTAAAACGCAGTGAGTTCATTAAAACCTGTTTGGACAGATTTTTCTTAAATATAAATGATAAACGCACCTCTTTCTTACGGAACATGACATTGATACTTTTTACGCAATAAATTATCACTTTGTAGCAATTCTGATATGCTAAAAATAGACCAAATTTAGTTATAATTCTGTCAACTGCAATTTGGGACAGTTTTTTAATGTAAATTTGATTATGATCCTAGTTGGTAGAAATAAATAAATTATTATTATTATTAGTACTACAGAATATTAAGCTAAATTTATCAATCTTAGTGCTAACAATGTACACACAGTACAGATTCTCCTTTTTAGCGTTTATTAATTGTTTTATGGTTCGGAGATCGTACTACAATAAAAATTTAATCATTTGTTTTACTATTATCTAATAATTGTTTTACTATTATTAGATAATAGTAAAACAAATAAATATATTTTTAATGATGTAAATAAATGTAAATAAATCACAATTAATGATGACATAATTACCTATTTGTGTGCTGTAGATAAGTATGGGTGTATTTAAGAATCAATACTTTTTTAACATCATCAATATATTTTTTGCTAATATAAAATATGTGAGATATTAATATTCAACTCAAGAGAAGAGAGATACGTATATAAGTTCCTTATGTTACCTATTATCATAAGATATCACAAAATAATAAATCTGTCTTATTTATAACTCCTATCAACAATGGTAGCAATTCTGTTGCACAAACTAGACTAAAGTTTAAGTACAGGGTTTTCAAATGCGAAAGTCACTAAAAAGAAATTAATTATATTTCTTTGATTACTTAAAACTATTGTTAAAAGAAATCCAAAATAAAGCTAGAACTTTTTTTGTTTAGTTTAGATAATAGAGTGGTATATAAAACAGAATCAGCACCATTAAGAGTGATATCACATCACTGACTTGATAGGTATTTAACAATAACAATGGTCCCCAAAATGTGCCATTAATTCCCAGAAACTATACAAATAAAATTGCCTTTTAAAAAAGACACAGTTATTGATAATATTTAGTAAAAATAGATATAAGTACTTACAATTCTATACTTTGTTTATTTATGAAATGGCTCAATAAACAGCACAAAAATAAACCAAATGCTAGAGATGTAGACATGAAATGAGCAACGAAACAAACTATTATAATCTATCGTCGAAACGAGAGGTATCAATCGACTCGTGACTAACATGTGTAGCATGATAAACTCGAGACACAATTTGTCTACACCAAATTTCAGTATTCTTCGGTCGAGAGTAAGATCTTTTATAAGTGCACCCGACGAAAATAACATGATGGATGTAGAATATAATTTTCTCGAGTTTGTCATGCTATGCGTGCAGAAATTAAGTAGAATAGACGACCTATAGTTCAATACACGTAACAAAAATAGTAAAGATATCGCAGTGATTTCGTTTTCCTATTCACGTCTATGAATAAATCCTATTTTAAAGTAGTTCTATCAGAGTATCGTCGAATCGTATTCACCTAATCAATCGTATTAAAACGGATAACCATGCTGTCTATTTCTCGACGAAGGTTACGACTTGTGTGGTGTGAACGGAGTCGCTTCATGAATATTCAGGTACGGCGATCCGATTTTTTCCGGTCCGGAATGATATGAAAAACCCGGAAGAGTAGCTTGTGCACTTGTCCGTTTTTTTCCTGATCGGAGCGGCGCAGTGTATGGCAGCTCTCTTTGAAGCTACATGTCACTTACGGTAGGTACGATGACATTTTTGGAACGTCGGTAATTGCGTTCGAAAACGTTGAAAGGTACCTAAATAATAACCTGATCATTTTACATAAACCATAATAAATTGAGGCAAGACGAAAGCATTTTTTTTTTACCACTATCAGATGTCAAAACTTATACCCTTACTAATTTAGAAACAGCATTATTCACATACAATATCTAAAAATATCTGTGACATTAGAATAAAATTACTGATAATGGTCTAGTACTTGATGTTTAAATTAATAAACGTGCTATTTTTTTTTAAGTTTTGTAAAAACAATTTTAAAGCGATTACAGAGATAGACCAATCGGTGGCGCCATTTCGTAAACAAATCGAAATTAGTGCCGTATAAGCGGAGAATTAATATGCTAAATGAACTTTACGAGATCAGTTGACTGTATTATATATAGGCATAATTTTATACGAGTGGTGTAGTTTCTTTGAGCAGAAATATTTTTCCCTTAGAATCCTTCTTTTTTAATTTTTTTTTTTATGACACAAAAAGTCATTTCAATTTTTATTACAATATAGACCTGAATGCGAAAAAAAGATTGAGTGCCACTTTATTGCTTTTGTTAATCTTCTGTTTAATCTTTATTATTACTTCTGTTATCAAATATTTATCTTTACTTATCAAATGTCTAAAAAACTTTTAATAATGACAAATTTCCAGGCAAACTTTCGTCCAATATTTTTCGCGATAAAATGTAGCCTATGTCCTTTCTTAAAGTTAAGTCTATTTACTATATTAATTTTCATTAAGATGGATTAAGATCTTACCTTAAGTTATCGATACTTATACGATTCTAAAATCTAGCTAAGTATCGATACTAGAACCATACGCTGATCAAATTAGAATTAATTCGAGTTTGCCAAAGCATTATCACTGCATATTTACGAACTATATTAAATCATCATATAAAATATAGCATTTTATATAATAAAATTCAAAATTTAACAGGTAATGCATGAGCATGTGGTACTCATCACTAGCTCATTGCAAAGAGAGCGGTATTGTGCGCGCGAAGATTATTATTTTATTAACGTTTAAAATTAACATAAATGCTACTTACTGGTGAAAGGAAATATTTTTATTCTATTACGTTACACATTGAAATTCTAAATGGCCAAAAAAGGGCTGTGGCCAAAACCTGGTTCTTATCCTGATTTATCTACAGGTATAAAATAAACATAATGGAAAAAGAAGTTATGAAACCAAAAATACACATTTCGCCTATTTCAAGCCTTAAAATATATGAATAAGCCACAAAATATTATTACAATAATTTATTTTGTTTTTTTGGAAAAGGCCATTTAATCTGTTAATATTAAGGTATAACAAACTAAAAGGATAATTTTTCAAAACATAGTTAAAAGTAATAACAAAGTGAAAGACTATATATATTGACTTTTAGTGCAACAAGGTTTACTTATTGTAAAAATCATAATAGCAGTTGCTATTTAATCAACCATTACAATTAACAAACTTAACAATCGAAAACATCAAAAATTGTGTATGAATTCAACAGAACCTAACTCAACGTACTCGTCAACCAATGAGGAAAAGTTGATTTTTGCAGGAAACGAATGGTCCAAAGAAAGTAATTTCTTTTCATTTTAACTAACATATTAAAAAACTGAAGTTTGAAAAGTTCGAAACTTAGATATCAATACAAATACGAAAAAAAACAAATAGAATATGAGTTGTTTAATGAGTTTTGTAAACTAATTTACTTTTAAACAGAAGAAAATCGGAAGGATGTGTCATGGAGAAATCAAAAACATACCGAAGCGCCATCTTGTTTGATTACGGGAACTAATGTTTTTTTTTAAATACTTTCCCATTACGTCATCATGTTGTACGCAATTACATCATCAAAATGGCAGCCAGGCGCATTAGCAAATTTACGGGGACTATATCAAAATATTTTTCAACATAGATTATTTTGTGGCACATCTGTTTTATAATCAATAAAATAAAATATATAATATAATATATATAATATAATATATAACAATATAATATAACATAATATAATTATACTAATAAATAAAACACATAACATTTCGGTAAATTGGTGACCCAATATAATAATCGGTAAAATTTGTTTTTGATTTCAATAAATAATTCTTAAATAATAAATATTCAAAAACTTAAATTTTTATTTTCAGAATCAAGGCCGCCTCGGAAAAATTACAATCAACTATCGAGTAATGAAAAACTGGATAATCGACAAGTGGAAGACATTCATATCGAGGAAGCTGAAGTAGAATCAGATGCCAGTAGTACCGATTTGGATGAACGCGATACACGAGGGGTATGCCCGCCTTGTGCGCATGATCGCTACAACAATAACATTCGAAGACATGCACACGATGATTTCAGCGATGATACAGATTATGGTAAGCATTCAACTATAATCGTAGACGTAGATATTTGTGACTAAATAGCACTGACTGCTTATGAGTACTTACAATATTTTTTATTTATACACAAACACTGCTGTCGCTGTTTATGAGTATATTTGCTAATATTTTCTTAAGCTGCGTCAGCACACTTCAAACCTCAACAAGCCATCATAAATGCAAATATGTAGATGGTATGCTGGACTTGGTCTATGTAGGTTTCCAAGCGCTAGTAGCCGATTCGGTCGATTAGGGTTTTTATCACAAATCAAAAATATTTAGCCGGAAGTGATTGCAACGCGTTCACACGTTCGTGGGAGTTTGGAGTTTGAGGCAAGTGGCAATCGTGCAGACGAGGCATTAGATATCGATTCTATTTGCACATGCGCATCACTATGGACTTTTAGGAAACGTTCTATCCTTGCTAAAAAATACAAGTTTCTCTATGGTTTATGTCATAAGATGTAAACGTCACTGAAACGTCATGGTGGTCATGGTTGTCATTTGATGTCAATGGTGTCGTTTGTAATTTTTGTATAAGTTCGTGGAACTTTAACGTAAAGAGAACTGTAATTAAATTTAGTGGTCAACGAAGAAGATTTTAACTTTACTAAGCGTCTAGTAAATATTAAATTGCGTTCTTCATCACAATACAATCAAAATGACCAATTTAAAGTCTGAACTAGACGAATATATGCTTCAAAAAGAAAGTCGTAGAAGCTACTTCAGTCTTCCTTCAATCTCTACCCCTAGTTTCCTTTCAAGAAGTACAGAAAGCCCTGACGATGATACTGTTACCTGGTTTCAGCAAACACAAAAGGATTATTTTACTTTGGTAAGTTTTTAATAACAATCTATTTAAGTACATAAAAATTGAATAACATCATCCTATGAGTCATAATAAATGTTGTATTGAATTTCTGTTTCAGAGTCGAACACAACGATTTATCGGCTTTGGTGCTTGTTTGGGTTTGGGATTCCTCTGTTTTATACTATCGTTTATTTATATTCCTGTATTACTCTTACAAGCGAAAAAGTTTGTCTTACTATTTTCATTGGGAAGCTTGTTCTTTATTATGAGGTATGTTGTATTTTATAGATTCTTAAAAGTATTATTAACATATTAGAGATTGTCTGCAAAAAGCAGTGTAGTAAAATTATTACAATGTAATACTTCATGTTAACATAAAATTTGGAATTCTTATGATATTAATAATCTTAAAAATATATATATATATAATACTTTATTTCACTTTTCAGCTTCAGTTTTCTCTATGGACCATGGGCACACATTAAATCTCTATTCTCAAAAGAAAGAGCTATAGCCACATCTTTATATATATTGACCATGATTGCAACATTATACTGTGCTTTGAGTCTAAAAAGCACACTTTTAACAGTAATATGTGCAATAGCACAATTCACAGCTCTGTTCTGGATGATCATGGGATCTGTGCCTGGAGGATCCTCAGGAATGAGATTCTTCGGGAACATGTTCAAATCTTCAGTGTCCAACACTCTACCAATATAACACACATTGTTTTGGCATAATTTCCCTACCTGTGGTCTGCAGTTTCATCTCTAATTACCAACTTTTGTATTGCAATAAATTTATAAATAATTGATATCTGATACCTCGAGGGACCTTGAGATCACTCATGATTGACTAAAAAAGGTTGGGAAGTTAATAGACCAAAAAAGGTTGGGAAGTACTAGATTAGAGCACAGTTTAGCAAAAAAGGCTCTATCCACTAGAAGCAACTGTGATATAGGATTTTATTTATTTAAATGTAATTTATAAAACTAAAGTCTTGTGTTACTGTAATTAAATCTGCTTACTATTTTCATAAATTACATTTTAATAAATAAAACCTAACATCACATGGGGTCAGAAGTTGGATGTGACATCTCAGAATATTTTTGTTTACATCTATTGGATCTATGCAGATTCTTATTTTTCCATTTGTCTTACAACAACAATAGGATTCATAACAGGTGTAGTCTCTGTTTCCAGTTTGGTGACATCTAATTTCACCATTCTGTCAAGTTCTTTTTTAAACTCCTCTCTTATTGCATGTGGTATTTGTCTTAACGATTTAATGTCAAATTTTTGGTTCTCAATAACATCAATGTCATACACATAACCTCTATAACAGCCTAAGCCTTCAAATATATCTTTATATTGACTTTCCTTTCATGTCTTAACTCTTGCAACAAGTCCTGATTTCCACATGGAGTAAATCCTAAGTTACTTTTTCTGCAACTATGTCGAAAAAAATATCAAATGGCAAAAAGTTGTAGGTGAGACAAAATTATTATATTTTGTATAATAATTTTGTCTCACCTACAACTTTTTGGCCTAGAATTTCTTGTTTGGCTAGGTTTAAGAACTGCTTTTATTTTTTTCAATGTATGCATTGGTAAAACATTGCATTCTGCACCTGTGTCTAGTTTAATGTTAAAATTCACATTGCCAACTTTTACTCTGGTGCGAAATAATCTTTGAACATATCTTTAATTACTTGTAGGTTGTTTTATTCTAAGTTTAAAACTATTGTATATCCCAATTGCATCTGGGCCTAATATTGCCATAAACGTCGCTGCTTGCACTTCGACTGGCTTTTTATCTAATTGAATACCATTCAAACTGTTGTAACCACTTATTCTAGCTCGTTGATTTGTCCAAATCAATTTGTAGGTTAGCTGGCGGCTTTAAACCAGATAGTGCGTCTTTGCGTTCATCGTCACGTTACATCTTACAAATTTTCTTTATTGTACGCGTAACTATCCCACTTCTGACACCATGTGACGTTGGATTTTATTTATTCAAACGTGATTTGAAAATACACTTCAAGTGTAACGCGTCAAATTTGTATGGAAATTTGACATTCACTAGTGCTTAAAAAGCTTACCGTACTGTAATTAAAATTGCTTACTATTTTCATAAATTACGTTTTAATAAATACAACCCAACGCAATGAACGAAAACGAAAATTCTATTTTGTCCGTTAGACAGATTATAGAAAAATATTAGATAAGTATTTCTTTACTTCAATTTAACAAGAAATAGCTTAGATAACAGGCATTAAAGTTGAGAAGCGAGGGCTCGTACGTCACAGTTTTGTAGAAAATGTACAAAAGCGTGACGTCATGTGACATTTTAACTCAATGTCTCGCCGTAATTTAATGATTATGAAAAAAAATACGTATGTAATATTTTTCAACAATCTATCTGACGGACAATACAAACAAAAAATATTCGTCCCTAATGTTGCAATAAAAAAAAATGTGATTGTGATTACCTACATAGTTTCGAATTGGAAAAGTTAATATTTCTATTGCCTTTGAAGTATTTCACCCGGGGTTAAAACATATCCAAATATTGTATTGTCATTAGCATTATCAGGAACAAGTGTTAAATAATGTTTATATTTTTTTATTTTAAATTTCTTTTTTATAATACCACTAGGTTTCCGCCAGCGGCTTCGCCCGCGTGGTCCCCTGGTGCCTTACTCATAGATCTAAACTCCACTCCCACACGCCTGGACGTCCACTTTCCAACGGGCCGTGCAGCGGAAATCGTAATATTTTAATTTCATCATAACTTCAAAACCAAACGTCCAATTTTATTCATTCAAAGACCAAATATTATCTACATAAACTGTACTTAGTAATGAAATATTTTGATAAAGATTAATAGCATGAGTAAAATAAACGCGTTTAAATGTAATCCAAAAAAAAAATCAATATTTTTAAATAAGAAAATGGTTGTTGTACCTCACTCGACATAGATAGGTATAGTGTTTCGCAGACTTATTTGTAGATATTTATAAGATCTACAATTAATTAGAACATTTTATGGTTCTATCTATTATAATTTAGGCAGCGTACGCAAAATAAGTAACTTTACTGGTTGATTTTTTACACCTCGTGTCCGAAAAACCCAAATACCTTATGGAACCCCATTTTTTTCCAGAATAAAATATAGCCTATGTTACTCGTGGATAATGTAGCTTCCGAATGGTGAAAGAGTTTTTAAAATCGGTCCAGTAGTTTTTGAGCCTATTCATTACAATTAAACAAACACAAACAAAGTTTTCCTCTTTATAATATTAGTATAGATAAAAGCAATACTTGGGCAAGTATGTGGAAATACTTCAAGGGCAATAAATTAACTAACTGAAAAGTTCTTTGAAGTGGAGTTTGGCAATTTTTGAGAAAACTATGTTCCTCAACATTTGTAAATGTCAATAACTGTATTGATTACTTATTAAGACTTGTATAGTTTGTATACTTTTTATAAGAATGAAATTATTTTTGTAAATACCAATAGTGATAACGTTATTTTTTATTTAGGATAATTACCCATAACAGTACCCATGCCGGAATGTTAGCATATATGCATTTAATTTTATATGACACATATCAATTACTGTATGATTTATATCGATTATTAGAGAATTAACAATTTGTATAAAATTGCCAATTGTTTAATATTGTAAAGTGGAGCGAAATTGTGATAATTAAACATACAGCAGCATTGAAGTTAGTTAAGTACAACCAATTAGAAAAATTGTAGTTCTTAATAACATATGGTGTTGGGCGCTTATTAATTTCGCACGTCACGTTTTCTTGGATAACGTCCACAATTTGAAAGAGACGTCCAACTTTTAAGCATTTTTATAATTTGCAGTATGGACGCAAAACTATAATAAACATGTTAAGTACCTATATAAATAATTTTCTTATAAAGATTCCTGTTACAATTTATTCTCCTCCGTAGCCGAGTGGTTCGCACGCCGGTTTCAAGGTGTCGCCATCTCTGAGGTCCCGGGTTCGATTCCCGATCGGGTCAATGTAGAAAATGAACTCTTCTATATTGTCTCGGATCTGGGTGTTGTGATGCTTTCGTTGTCTCAGATACTCCATAATACGGGGGCTTTAGCTACTCATCTTGGAATCTGAACAATGTATGTGATGTTGTTAAATATTTATTATTTATTATTCTGAAAAGTAGATAAAAGCAATGAAAATACCGCGACTGTTTTAGTGGAAAGATAATCGAAGGAAATTAAAGTCTTCAATATCTCAATAAACTTCTGTGTTATCGTCGTACCTTAAACGACCACGACAGAGTTACGTTATGAAATTTATAAGCGCCCGTTGGTTGTATCTTTACAGACCCGTAGTATCATCATTTACCATGGACCAATTATTTACTTTTATATTCGACGTTAGAACAACTATTATGTAAAAAAGTATGCGGCAGTTATTTTATCATAATAAATTATTTTGTTTAGAATTTTGTATCAGTCCCTTAAAACCACATGTAACATAATTAGATTATTTCTCGACTCTTTAAAGTCGGAACATCACATTTATGTTCCTCATTCTTTTCAACTGTCAAGAGATGGCGCAATGTTCTATTTTATTCGCAAAAATTTGGCATTTCTATTTATCTACGAAATTTTCTACTTTCGTAAATAAATAAAATAGTTAGTTAGAAGAGTAGATAGTTTGTAAAGATAGCTTAAATTTATTTACTCGCCCCTTCTAAATTATAACATGGTTATAAAAATCAAATCGATCATTTTGTTATTTATACAGCTTCGGTTCATAAACTGTGGTTGAAAAATTTTTATCAATATAGTATTTTGAATGAAAATTTGATCAAATATATGATGAGTCTCTAGGGCTTCTCCATTCAAACCTTTGTTCAATACCCCTAACCAAGATTTGAGTTTAAGTGTCGATTGGCAGACGGTCGGTACACACGGCTGCACGTCATTTCATCATTAATGCCCCCACTGCTGAGGTCCAGGCCTTCTCTGTGGATGGAATCGAATGAAATCCAACAGGGTGAATGGGCCATGACGATCCACCACGCGGACCCAGTGCGTATTAGTGTTAACGACTGCAGATGCAGCCTAGACCAACGGCTTAACGTGCAGGGAGGAACTAGAGATAATAAATTTTGGTCACCCATCCTATGACCAACCATTGCGAAAGTTGCTTAAAAACCGTATCGCAGACCGAGCGCGCTAACTACTGCGCCATCGAGCGCACAATATGTCAAATTTCCGCAATTGATTTTGAAATATACCTACGATGTATTAAAGTTTAAAATCAGGAAGAGAAAATTGACTGTTTTATAAGATGGGTCGTTCGTTATCCATTTTTTTAATCACAACGCAACCGCTATAAGCCGATATATTATGTAAAAATCCAAATCGACTTCGAATTCAATTCAAAAAGCGGCATCGGGTCAATCTTGAATTGATAATAACGTTTTGTGGCATAAGTGAAGTGAGTTTCGAAATGACATAGAATATATGAATAGAATATCTGAGACACGTATAATCAATCAATTTTGTTTTGTATTTTTATATAAAAATGGAATCGATAGAATTTCTACACTAAATGGACACATGAGTGAATTCGAATTTGAGTCTGGATTTTTAGACAATCGCAGGGCTGATCGCCAATCATCGATATCAAAACTGTCTATTTTTAATACTAGTTATTTCCACAACGCTATAGTCAAAGCGAATTTTACTCTTATAAAAACGCGATAAAGCTCAATTTCATTCACACGTATACCGACATCCTGTTGTTGTTTCATTAACACATGACAGGTTGCATTGTTAGCGACCCATATTATTTAAAACACGTGTTAAATCACGTGTTACAGTCTATACGGTTATTAAAATTGCATTACTTGACCATCAATGTAAAATGTTGATCTCTTAATTAAAAATGTCTACTTAACGCTGCGAAATGTGATCGCCACTCCTTGGTGATCGTGGATATTGTAAAGAGAGTCGCCTAAACATAAATTTACGTAAAGTCATTCAGCTTATAAGAAAAGTATATAAAACTGTCTATCGCATACTCTGGCGTGCTATTGACAGTGCGTTATGGAGCGAGTTGGTGCAACAGCGATACACTCTTGAATTTTGAAATGAATTCCTAACGTTTAGCTATTTTCGCGTGGGCAAGTCAACCACGGATGACAAAGTTCATCTTAAGCTTCCCTGAGCTTCGAATTAAGCCGTCGGTTAAGCTTGCAGTTGTTAACACAACAATCCTCTAAAAGACAGTTAATAAATTTAATGATAAAGTCTGTACACACTGCTGCACGTCAGGTTACCACATTTTGTCAAATTTCCGCAATTTATTTTGAGCTCTACTCTCAATGTATTAAGATTTAATACTAGATTCTGGCGAAATCCACAAAGGCAACGCCATTACAAAAATCAAGTGGCGAAATTTGACAGACTTATAGTCTTGGGGTGTTGTTGGCTGTATATAAACTATTAAATGTCGCATTTTGGGTCGTGCCAGGTTCTGTTTTCTATCATAGATTTACTTATATAGTAGAAAACAGAAATTTATAGTTATAGTAAGTTTGCGCCACAGAAAAAAATCGATGACACTAGTACACGCAGACACATTATACTACATCATAAACAACATTTAAGTACATGAAATTGTAATGAAATAAAATTCAAAGCTTCGTTATACTCATTTCAGACGAGGCGTTAACTTGCAACGTATGCGACAGATCATTTCCTACAAGGCGTCTCCTCGGCGATCATCAGCAAAAGAAACGGCATTTTGGGTGAGAACCTTTTTCATTGTTTTTCTTTTCTACTGCTATATACACATCTCAATATTTACATTTCTTCAGAGGTTTTGTCCTAATTTACGTACAACAGCTCCTCAGGCTATACAAAACTCAAATTTCTTGGGTCTATAGAGTTCAAAATCAATTGAAGAAACTTGACATATTGTGGTAACCCGATGTGCAGCCGTGTGTACATTGAAGTAGAGACCACGAACATAGAACGAAAAAAAATAGATATTTAATCATTTTGGAAAAACCATAAATTATAATCAGTAAATTTACAAAAAAAAATAAGAAACCCATTCTTCGATACATGTGCTACTGAAGTTTTATTAAGTTTCAGGAATTTCTTTATTAAAAATGAACCATTAATATTCAGATGCAGCGCGTGTGACAGTCTATTCCCATCGCTGATGGCGTTAGAACACCACAAGGAGGAGTTCCAGCACTGGAGTGACTCGTCGTACTGCAGCCACTCAGACTCTGAAGACAGCGAGCTGGAGCTCTGTCACGAGGACCGCCACAGGCTACTCTAATGCCACCACCTCATTATTGCCGGGGACAAGCCAGCCAAGCTGGGCACATTCGTTTGAACTCTTCTCAAGGCCCATGGAGCCCAGCTAAAACCCATTTGTGTAATTCTTACCAAATACAAGTTAAATTCACACAAGCCCCGAGTTTTTGGAGCTCCTGTAATAATTGTGAACCATCCGATTGAGTCGTAAAAATTTGTCTTTGTTCTGTCAAGTAATGGAATGAAGTATTTTTAAATAATAATATAATAAAAACCACTAATAACAAAATACAATATATCCTGGTGTAACTTAAATCTCTAATTTTGAATATCTAGTATCAATTTCTACTGGCGGCGCATAGTTGAAGCGAATCGAAGCGTCGATAGCAAATTCACCCTAATATCAAGAATATAATTCTACTTTGTTGAGAATATAACTCTTTGAGGGCTTAGACTCTGCTCTAGCATCAAATGACCCTCAAGTTATATCGGTTTTTTTATTATTATTGGCCCCATAGATTAACAGTATAAAAACGACGTAAGGTATATTATCAAAATGTCTACATCAGTAGCAAAATTATCAAGATTACTCCAAAAAATTTTCATGAAATCTCACGAGCACAAACTAAGTAATAAAAAAGAGAGTCCTTTTGACTGACTTTTTAATGTTTTCTTGAATTATAATTTATTAGATTTTTGATCATTTTTGTATTAACCATGCTATAATTGTATTTCCCTGCTTAGTCACATGATAATAAACCAAAAAATTTGTTTGCTAGACCATTAGAGGTTATACAGCTCATAAAATTAAAAATACAACTAATTTTATTAGAGCACCCGAGATGGTTGTTTTAAGTATTTTCTTATATTATATTCTGTTTCTGTGAATTGAATCTTGTTAGGCTGAAAACATATCATCATTCAAAGAAACTTGTATATGAATAAGAATTGGACGTATTACTGCAACTTTTTGCGCCAGAATGCAGCAACAGCACAAAAAATAAAAGTACATAGAATATCAGTATAAATGTAAATTTCAATATGTTTAAGTTACGATTTCGGCCTAATTGAAGAGCAACGCTCAATTTTTTATGATGCAATTGTCATCGTAATTGGTGGTGCCAAAAATACCTAAGTACAGTCGGCGTCATAATTTTGAGTGAATCTCAAGATTATCAAAAATGTCGTGAAGTACAAAATTTATATTTTATCTAAGCGCGCAGGGATCAAAATATCTTTATCCTTCAACTTTACTTACTCGAATTATAGAGTTGTTAGTTTATAATTAAATAATTATGACGCTGATAGTACATTTCTAAATCCAAATAAGGTTCCATATATACGGATATTTGTATTCTGGGCTATTCTACTCTACCATTAAACGCCAATATATAAAGGTTTAAAGCTATGAATATGAATGGAATTATGTTTTATTATATGTCATAGGTGTGATATCAGTCTCAAGTGTGTTCATTGTGTCGCTTTATATGTTGTATGCGAAAGAACATGGTTTTCAAAAAGATAATAAATTTATTATTGTATATGAACAAGCGACACTGCCACATAATTTTGGAAACTTCAAATTTTTCATGATAAATAATTTATGAACCTGAGCACTATGCTGTTTAGCCATTTTATATATCAAAATTAATTTGCTCAATTTTTTATTGCAATATTTTTTTTACTTTTATGACCCGGGGGCTATGTCATAAGATACAAATGTTTATAATTAATGCAAAAGGCTCATTTATGTATGTTTGATTAATGTTATTTTTTTCTTTTAAGAAAATAATCATTGCGGTGTTGTGGTTTATCGATCTAATGAAATCACAGTATTATAAAAAAATGTAATAAAAAAAACCGTAAAAAAACTCAACTGCTCAGGGCAGTGTCGTATAAACAAAAAATATTTAAAAAATGTGAATTCACAAAAGGCTGCTTTTATTAAGACATATAATTAAAAAACAAACAGCATGTTTGACCTCATTTTTTGTTTCAAAGATATTTTATTCACTTCAGTCCTGTATACTTCGTAAACATTTGACATAGTCTTATAATTACATAGCAAAATACCCAATCCAAATTTTGGCCCAACCTCTTGTATGCGGCTCTTGTGTATTTCGTCGTCTCGTTTGAGAGCCAAACAGCACCTCTTCGAATAGTAAAAAAGTATCAACTGTTTCTACTAAAACACCCAAGTTAAATCGATATCGAAAGGTACATAAAACAAAACTACCATTTACAAAATAAAGCTTTTATTTGACTTCAAATGTTAAGCCTACACTCATTATGTAGAAATTAAGTGAGTTATATACAATATCATTACAGTCTACAAGTAAAAATTAAAAAAAAAAAATGCAAAGCGTATTGTTTCTCTGAACGAACGTCAATACCGCAAGATCACAGTTTCCATATCCGCATACAAGAGGTCAATAAACCTATCTCACAATAAGTATGTTTACCTTGGAACCGTGAACGACTATCCCGGGGTGTCCACACATCAATACCCACACGGGAACACTTCACAATTCCAAGGATATATTCCACATTTGATTATTTGTATACTTTTTGGATTTCTCATATTTTGATATTGAAACAAAACTAATACGCTAGTTTTTTATCATGGATTAAGTAACTAACACGATTAAAATGAGCTCTAAACATACATCTTTCTATTGTGATTGCTAAGTTAAATTGTGAATATGTTCGAATCGTGTACAAGTAGACATATCACTTACTACAAAATGACATCGTATATTTTCTAAACAAAAAAAAAATACTTTGTAAAGTTCGCTCGAAAGCATATCTATCTGTAAATATTATAATTATACAATTTCTTAGTGATATCCCGGCAATAATGCATATCACTGTACTATTCTTGTAATGACTGAAAATTTAGATTTAGATGTAAATAAAGATAAACATTATAGATAAGAATGCGTCATCCACGTTTAGAATTTGAAATTCTTAGTGTCACACCGAATAAACGTTCCCCGTACCCTTCCCCGCGAGGTTCCGTGGAATCTTCCAATGTAGTGTCGTATATCGAATCCAGTGTAAAGTTTCCATTAGCGACTACTAATATTTTTGTAAATTATTATTATAAAATGTATGTAATAATTAACTACGCCGGACGGTGGAAGATCCCGAGCCGCCCTCGTCGCGACGAGACGGGACCGGTCGCGATCTCTCGCCGCCGCGCTCTACGACGTTTCGTATAAATAAAAATACGATTGAAAATATGTACAGAAATGTTTATTTTATAGGAAATCACATAACCACAGAGTACAGGCTACGACACACGTATGTACTGCGCTATGTCCGATCTCCCATAAACGTACCGAAAGGCCGCGATCGGCTCCTATCGTCCGGGGAGCGACGTACACATGTTTAATTTTTCATATTTATCGAATAATCAGGAATACAAATCACGAATCTCTTATAAAAGCATAATACGAGTAAGTCTAGTGACGTGCGGCCCTCCGCGTCGCGCGCGACCGGAGAGTCGACACACGATACATGTTACGTTAACGTTAGGATAATAATATCTGTCTCGCGCCGGCGTCGGGCCGGAGCGGCGGCGGCGGCGGCGGCGGGCCGGGGCCGGGGCCGGGGCCGCGCCGGGCGGGGGGCGGGGGGCGGGGGCCGCGCCCTCAAGCGCTGCCGTTAACCAGAGGCTCGGCCTTGGCCTTCGCCGCCCCCGCGCCCGCGCCCGCAGCGCCCACACCCGCGCCCGCTGCCGCGCCCGCGCCCGCAGCCGCCCCCGCCCCGTCGCGCCGCGCCTTGCTGCCCGCGCCCGCGCCCGCGCCCGCCGCCGCCCGCTTGTCCCCGGAGCCCTCGCCGCCCGCCCCCGCCGCAGGGCCCACACCGTTCTTCCACCCGCCACCTGTAACGTCCCCGCCCGCCCCATCCGTCGTTAGATACGTATCATAACAAAGTAACGTTAAGCACCCGTGTGCGAGTTAACGTCACGGTGTCCCCTATGTTTTATCCCAAATATACACCCAACTTTAGATCGCTTGAAAGTTCAAAGTTGCCAAAAAGGGAATTCAGGACATGAAATTATTGATATGATGGCCAGTAATCGTGTAACGTTGCCTATGCTAACCTTTTTCCTGTCCTAGAGATTAAATTATGTTAAAAATTAGGTTTGAAAATGAACATATAAAACAATATTCCTGCTAATCTGCCAATTACTTAGAGTATAGAAACTCATATAAACATCACTTACAAAAACTTAAGATTCTGTATGAATAAATAGACATACAATGGACACACAATTATGTCGACATCGGGAATGGTCAACTAGCATGTAGACAATCAGTACGTTTGCACTGTGCGCGACATAATCGACACGGTAACGTAAAGGAGTGCGGCTCAACGGTAAGTGTTAACAAAGCCGCATTACAATGGACATCACAGCATTGTGTTACGTGTAGCCTAAAATAATGGATAGCTTTAACGTTATCACGCACAACCTAAGGTAAATCTGAAAATCTTACATCATGTGTGACATGCAGTTGAGATGATGTTATGGTAAGAGCGCAAACTAATTAGCAGCAGGGCGGCAACGGTTCAGAGACATTAGCAATAAGTCGTTGAGTCGAGACTAGTTTATCAACGCTTTTAATTGGTATTTTAAACTTTCCTAGTCATTCAAAATCAAAAGTAACATTTTGTTATTTGATATATTACTGTGGATTTCTATACGGCTACCTTAGCTTTCAGCTAAGTAGATATCGAGTAACAACCTAACTCTTATAATGCTCCAAATCATCGTGCATTTAGTACCCGTGATCGCTCTGCTGCCTCCTATTGGTCAGATTGCAGATTAACACTATAAGCCAGTTTGCTTCTACACACAGCCTAGGACTACTGACATGCAATAATTGTAAAATCATCTCTATAGCTCAATGTCATTGAATATTTGTTAGCAGGTGCAGTGGATTTATGATACTGCAAGATGTTCTTTAGTCATGAAATTCTTACAAGTTTACAATAAAATGGATCATTGAACAATAGACACATAAAAACGTTTATATCTAATATAAAGCAGGATTTGTATTAAAAAATATACTGTGAAAATATGATGTTGACAATTTTATACTAAATCTTTAAATATTGTATCCCTACAAATGGAAAGATATCCCCACAAGGAATCCGGCGTGAAGATAATAAATTATTATATGAATATATAGATAGACGATTCAATTTGTAATAAATATGACGAATTAGTAATGCAGATGGCAAATGATAATGTCAGATGAACTTTAAGTAGTAAAATAAAAAGAAAATTGTTCCGTAAAATGGAATGTCATATAAGATCTAATAACATCCAATATTAACTTCATATTTACAAATCAATGAATAGTGGCACAAATTTTAAACCAACAGTAACATAAAATTTTAGTAATCATGGATTCTTAAAAAACACCCCCTTTGCAGGTCACTATAATAACATTTCTAGAAATACAATATTTAAGCATTCAAAATTGGAGTAATGCGATACAATATTATGTTAAAGACCAATTTTCGGTTCAACTTACAAGTAAATATGTACTACGAATATCAAGTATATAATTATAATCAATAATATAACATCTAACAAAACACATTTTTTTTTTACATGGAGACCTGTTTTAAGATCGAATTTTGTGTTTCTCGGATGGTTAAAAATTCACGAACGATAGCGATGTGGTGGCGTTAATTTGGTTAGGCGGGGCAAAATTCAAACAAGGTAGCGCCATTAAGAAACCGTGTTTTTTTAACTTTGATGAAAAAAGGGGTTGGTTGGTTAAACAATTGAAAAGATTAAATGAAACGGGGCAGACTGATTTCAAAATGTATTTCACCTTAGATATCAGCTCGTTTTTCAATTTATCTAAGTGTCAACACATAACTTATCGACTTTTAAATAATTTTAACAAACAAACAGCTGACATCACCCCCAACCTAACTAGCGCCATATTATGATTTGATTTTTATATTTTAGATTAGTAGTAATACGGGTGTAGACAGAAAACGAAAAAAAAACATATTATTTTTCTGGTCGTGTTCAATATACTTTAACTAATATTGCTTAAACTAATTTTGAAAAAAAAAACAAATATATTATGCTCGTTGTCACGTGACCGCAAATAGCGCTTGACGTCACACCTTTCTTACTCTTATCAGAACTTGAAGAATTCAACGTTACGCATACATAGAACGATATTCGTTTCATAGTGCCGTGACGTCATAACGACGCCACGACATAAGTTGTCGCGGGAAATTTATGAAAATCAATCTTATTTGTAGACTTCAATAGTATGAATGACTTTTTTCAGATATACAGTGGAACCTCTATAACTCGAACCTCGTTAAGGCGTAATCCTAAGTTAGTCGAAAATAATTTTTATTCCCTTCCGCAATATATCGAATTATTTAGACTATATAACTCAAACAATATTTATACTTTATAACTCGAAATTAAAAAAAAACAGACTCCGTAAGTCAAAATTAGTAAAATATAATGACGACGAACTTGGAATTCCCCGAACTCATAGCAATAAAATCCAAAAGGAATGTTCGAGGTAGCGATGGGCGATTGTTGCAAAAAACTAGACTAATACATTTGTATGTCATTTCTTTTAATAAATTTTGTGCCATAAAATTTATGAGAAATATTATTTCTAAGCGCCTTTCTATGTCGAAATTTTAGTTAAATTATTTGTATCTCGAAATTCTTGTTAAGTCGAAAACTCATTAACTCGAAATTTTTGGCATTTCCCTTGACATTCGAGTTATCGAGATTCCACTGTATATCTTGTATATCTATAAATTAAAAATATTCAAAATAAGTTGTCTACACCCCTATTAGTGTGTGATTGTGTTTGTGTGTTTGTATGTCTGTATGTTTGTGTTACCTGGGTTCCTGCGGCGGCGGCGCCGCGCAGTGGCCGGCTTGTCGCGTCCCTCCTCAGACGTGGCGGACTCTGCACAACACACGCGGGTCACCCATCGCCACGCGATACATTCCTACCCCCTAATCTCTACTAGACTCCTAACAGGGACCTATGTAACCCGATCGACTGGACTTAATTTACAAAAAACGTAGTGGTTTGTAAAATGGAATCTGGCCTACGCGAACACAAATTTGATATAGAAAAGATTATTTTTGAAATGTAGTTTGACAAGTGGTTGGGTATTTCACCAGTACCGAAAAGAAAAACACGATGTAAATTACGTAATCTTACTTGTAATGCTGAAATAATGTATCGATCATATATTTTTGTGTGTGTATTTTATTATGTAAAAGTTTTATTAATGTATAGGTAAAAAGTATCTGAACGGGCAAAATAAAATTCTAATTTTAAATCAAATTAAGCGATCATACATAAAAAGAAGTGAATTTGAAAACTTTCAGCCGACACCGAATTAGTTCGAGGCGTTTCTAGAGAAAAAAACTATAAAAGATAGCACTAATACGAAAAAGCCAGTTCCATACCGATATAGCAAACAACTAACCACCCATATATATACTACATAAAAAAAAATAGAAAATAAAGAAACATCCCATTCATCTCTACAACAAATGCTTAATGTACTAATTAAAATGTACATAATAAATACGATATACAATTACGATGCATAAATACACTTATAATTATCATAATAATTAACATTAAAACTACTACTCACTACATTTTAACTAGCACATTCAGTAACATTTTCAGATTATTAACATGAATGAATATTTTAAACTCAGGACTTTCTATTTCGCGTTGTTTCGTGTTTACACATAATTATTTTTAAACACTATTAGATCTCATCAAGCGTAAAACAACACTCAAGAATGCAATAGAAATGATAATACAGACTATTGCCGTATCTAGCGCGTACATTTGCATGAATGTGCATTTTAAAAAATTCATATATTGAGTCGTAAATAAATTTAAGTAATAAAATTATTACACTTGATAAGTTTGTTTTTGTCTCATTAGTGTATAGTTCCCTTCTAAAAAGGAATCTATACAAAACCCCGAAAACTATCGTAACTGCCATTAACTAATTTTTTTAATGGTTTCAAAGTTTGGAAAAGAAATCTATAAATTTATCTACAAACAATATTATCCATAAATATGAACTATATCCAACAATATTGGGGCTCTTGGTCAGTTATTTGTTGCATTATGGGGCAAGGGGTAAATTAGCTAGCAAAACATGTTATGAAATAAACAAATGCCGCCACGTTAATATGACATAATTTATACGATAGTTTTCGCATAGACAATCAAATAACAATACACAGTTATATTGTATATCAACAAAGTTTCTTACCTCTGTCGGCGCTGGATACGTCCTGGCTGTCTAGTACGGAGCTTTCGTCGTCAGTTTGCCTTCTTCTATCTTCACGTCGCCTCCCACTCTGCAAATTCGAGTGTTACTTTAATGTTTGGGGACTTCAAAACAACGCTTGTTCTAATATCCGCGCCAGTCATATCCACAAATTTTTTACAAATGATCTGTGGTCACATTTGTCGGTAAGATGGTCAACGGACGAACGCGCAAAAACTCCAAATGTGTGATACAACTTTGTACACATTCGTTAATTCCGCTGCCACACTTGGCTTTTTTGTAGGTGTTTGCGTATTTGAGCGAATATCTGCCATGGGTATAAGATTTTTGTTAAATCATTACATTTTGCTTTTTATGTAATTTATCGCTAGAATAACTTTAAGCGCATCTTGTCTTATTTATCTAGGTTTACTTTCCATCTAGACTACGCTCACTTTAAAAATTTCCTCGGGCGAACACGCATGAAAACACAGGAATGATCCGAACCTTAGATATAATGTGGAAACGCTCTCGCGTTCACTGGGACGTGAGTTAATATCGGTACAAATCTGACGCAAGATCCGTAAAGTAATATTTGAGTTTAACACTTACCTTACAATAATAATACAATTAACGATATACTTCAATCAATACAAATAACGCTGCGATTGCCATCGATATCACTAAGCCTAATTAAACAATTAGGCCTCTGATTTGGAATATCATACCTTTTGTCATGTAGACGTAATTTTAAACTCAAATAAAAATAATCAATCAAAACCCCGAACCAGTAAAACAAATTTGTCGACGCTGGGGTAGTGATGCGACTCGAGTGCTGAATTTTTCAAACTCGTACTCGAGTGAAAAAAAACTTGTCTCTATGCACACGAGTTATTGAGTCAACTCGGCTTATCCAATTGATTCTCTTGCTACTAGGAGTTATTTCATTACTCTAATTTATTTTTATATGCTTATCTTTTTTTATTTTCTTAGTCACATATATAAATAATATATCAAAACTATTTAAATGTGTATTTCATTTATATTCTATAAAAATACTAAGAGAAATTACACTCGAGTAGAATGTTTGCAATTTTTTTATTTGAGTGACTCGAAATCTCTAGTATGACACGAGTGATATAGTTAATGATGAAGCATTATAAGAAAAAAGGAAACACTAAAAAAGCACCTCACTAGATGGCGACTCTAGCAAAAGTTGAATGACCAAAGATATTCATTTCCGTACCTTTTCACTAACATATTAACAAACTGAAAAATTGCAAAATTCAAACCTTCCTTATCAATACCAATACGAAAAAGTACAAATAAAATATGAATTGAGCTTAGCATGTTTGCAAATCCGATGAGCCGAGCCCCCCACAGTTAACGGCTAACATCTCGATGTCACAATTCATGTAGGTGAATAGTGACGTCTTCACCCCCCACCCCCTTACGTGGAGGCGGTCGCTCCGGTCGAAGCACGCAATCAACTGTCCAAAGCAGTGTTTAGTCAGTAGGAGTCTGACATAACCACACAGCCGACTGTGTGGTATTTAATGAAGGATTTACCGCCTCCTTCCCCGTTGGGAGGGTGGTTCCGAACCGCTAAGGTTGAAGCCGGAGAAGGAAAAAAAAAGAATTACAATCCCACGTACGTTGGGTCTGGGCGGGGCGGGGTGCGCGGCGCCGCGCGGCGGGTGCGTGTGCGTGTGCGCGCGGCCGTTCTCCAGCGGCACGCGCCGCTCGCCGCGCTCGCTGGACCTAAACATATATACGTGGAAAATTTCTGTTGCATCAAAATCAAAACTGTTTATTCAATTAAAGCTTTTTCAATGCAGTTGCTGATAAAGCGCAAATTTTTTAATCCATTATAAACACCGAAAGTGAGTCTTTAAACGTGTAAAATAAAAATCTACTGAAATCCTTTACTGCACATGTGCTTAAAAGTATTTTTTAATATTTTTTGACCGAGCACCTAATAAATTTAAAAAAAAATATGAAAATATATCAAACTTTAACAAATAATTTTTACCTTTAATACATACTTAGTTTTATTAACCTATATATATATATTAACCTATAATTCGTGCCAAATTGAATTTCAATTTGGCCCTTATTCGTAAAACCTTACTTTACGCACTCGTATCTTAAATAACTATTACAGAGCACTCGTGAAAGTCGAAAACTACGCCATCGGTTCGCAAAACTACGGCTGGAGACCTTGTGCTGAGAAGAACCGGCTAGAAACTCAGCAAGGGCTGCTTTTTTCTCCCTGTTTTATTTCACACAGAGTAGTCTTATTGAAAAGTGACTTCATTAGAATATGAAGTCACTTTCCATTACAATATTAGAAAGTTAAATACAATAAAGTTAAAATATCTAACACCATGCCTCTTTGTCATTTAGATATTCCTTAACGGTATAATACCCTGTACTTTGTAGACAATTTTTAATACGACTTTTAAAACGATTTATCGGCAAATCTAATACGTCACTGGGGATCTTGTTAAAGTACTAAGAAAGAACCTATTACCTTCTGTAACCTGTAAGAAGGCATTATTAGCTTATATTTTTCTAGTGTTAAGTTTGTGTACATCACTATGCTTGGTATACACATTATTCCTAGTATACCTAATAATCCCTAATATTATACCTCCATTATACCTAATAATTCCTAGTATTGTTCCAGACAAAAGTATACAACTACAGTCGAACCTCTATAAGTCGAACATCAAGGGAGACGCCAAAAAATTCGAGTTATAGAGTTTTCGAATTATAGAGGATTTCGACTTAGGCGGATTTTGATTCGACATAAAGAGGTTGAGATTCATTCTTATTATTTTGAGTTAGAGAGGTAAAATAAATAAAAATTTTAGTTGCAGAGGTGATAAACATATTATAATTTTTGTATTACAAATCAACAATGTTCAAAACATCCTTAAATAAAAAATATGTCATTAAAAGAAGTCAGTAATTTTTTTTTTTTTGTTTTAGATAGTTTGGTTGTTCTCTATCTATAGCATTGTCCACCAGCAACTCTGAAGAAAAAGAATTTTCTGCTCTTCATACCATTATAAAGAGCAGAAAATTCTTTTTCTTCAGAGTTGCTGGTTTGCTCTATAAAATTCCGTAAAGTATTCAATGCTGTTCTTGCCTCTTTGATGGAAACCCATGGAGCGCATGGAGTATGTATTTTTCTTCGAGCTATAGAGGTGATAAATTTCAAATAATCGAGTTGTAAAGGTTGTAAAATCAAACATTGCTATGTTTGAGATACAGAGGTCCAATTTAATTTTTCGAGTTATAGAGGGAAAATATGTACCAAAATGGCTTACAGGGACTCACTGATTATTTCGACTAATAGAGGGTTGAAATTTCGAGTAATGGAGGTTTTGGTGTTTGAAGGGAAGGTAACAAAACATTTTTTCGAGATTCGGAGGTTTTCGACTTATCGAGGTTCGACTTAACGAGGTCCTACTGTATAAGTATATTGAGATGCAACCGTTGCAAAATGCAATATTCCAATTTCTTTAAATTTCTCTCTAAGAGATTTTCGCAAGGCCAACTAATAGATAGCTCTTGTTGTTCTTTTTTACACTATCTCCTTCACTAATAATCCGTTCTATTGTAGTACTCGACACGCCAATGAATATATACGAATCAATTCTTTACTGGTCAATTCATTTACACTTTAAATAAAAAAAAATCGTCAATATTCAGCTTCTTTTCACAAATTCTGCTATGAACATTACAAACAATATTTCTTGCTTGATATCTCAACGGTTTTTTGGATATTTTCACAAAATAAAATTAATACTTTCACACTTAACACCCAGAATATTTAATAAAATTAATTTACCTGCAGAAATGCAAAAGTCGAAGCAATCTATCCTATTAATATTATAAAGGCGAAAGTTTGTAAGTATGGATGTATGGATGTTTGTTACTCTTTCACGAAAAAACTACTGGACGGATTTGGATAAAACTTTACAGCAATATAGGTTATACATCAGAATAACACATAGGGTACTTTTTACTGGGAAAACTTCTCACTCCCACGGGATACCGACTTCCACGCGGACGAAGTCGCGGGCGTCCACTAGTTAAAAAATATTTTAAAAAAAGCCTTCCTGAGTATGATGTAACTGTTTTCATAAATTGGAGTTATTGATTGATTTTGGGTATAAATGAAATGAGTTAATAATTATCAAAAGAAAAACATATATAGTATGTTTAGGTCTATTAGTAGAGTGATATATAATTTTATACTTATATTCCTTCATATTAAGAAAAATATTTTATTTGTAAACTTTTAGGAATATTTTTTTTGGTCAATAAATACAAAAAAATATATATCTACAACAATTTACATTTGGATTTGATAGTTGTCAATAGAAGAGAATTTATATTGCCGTATGAAAGTCGAGATTTTTTCTTTTGTGTTCTTTTTTTGCCATCAGATTCTGGTACACCCAGGGCTTGCTTACTGGTTAATTTTCAAACCTAAATCATTGTCAAGTACATTAGAAGCATTAAATTTAGGTTTTGGCTCTACCTCAACCTCAAAAAATATCCGGTTTTCTTAAAGAGCGAAATGAAATAGGTTTTGGTATCAATATACCGGTTTTTGAGATTTTCATTTCACTCTTACCGACACATCGCTATCGAAAAGAAATGCCGACGCGTGCATGCACGTCTCGCTCTGGCTTAAACCGTTTATGCACCGCTCTCATTTCGGACGTGCTCCGAACGAAACCTTTACCAAAAACCAATCTAAATCTTCATTTATCGGTATTTTCAAAAGCGGTTTGAAGCCCTGGGTACACCTATGGTACTGTATACGTTACCTATTGGGCCTCGGCTGACGCGTGGGCCTCGGCCGGTACCCGCCGCCGCCGTCGCCGCGCTCCTCGCCCAGTTCCGGAGTCATACGTCGCCCGCCTGCAACAACACTCACGTTATCACAACAAACAATCGCACATTCACTATGTAGTTCTGAGAATCCTTTGCAGTCTTAAAAGCAAATTTAATGTAGAATAAAATAATGTAGTCATGGTTTGCTTGTTTCACATATCATGGCCTCGACTACTTGTTAACATTTACAGGCGCTGTTTACTTGTAAACATATAAGTTTCATAGAAAAATTACGTCCTTTGTATGCGCTCGGCTATTAAAAAATTCATTTGATTTTAATATTTTTTTTAATTTCTGTTATACCAGGTAAACCAACCAGATAATTCAAAAATACGAATCACAGTCGCATAGCATTCCCCTGTCAAACATCTAAATAAAAAATCTGCCCCCGCACATATATAAAAGTTACAGAGGATAAGCAAACCTACTTACATACTACTTTCTGAGAGTTAATAAATGTTACTCTCATAGAACCTCGTACTAGGTTAATCTTTGCTAAGCTTCTGCTTAATAATATGAATGTTGACTAATACTAATTGCAGTCTAAGAGTAAATTTACTCTTATAGTCCGTTTCACATAGCATGAGTACGACAAAGTTTGTTAACAATTCCATTTCACGTTTTACTGTGTATATATCAGATATTTATTTAAATTTGCATCTCAAAACAAAATTAATTTTTAATAGCCATAATTACTAAAATTTAACCCTACAAAGTTTAAAACATCAACACTTGTTTTGAAAATTTGAACTTTTTTTTCGATCATTTCAATCTAAATATGTATCAGATAATCATTTGATAATTTTTTTTAATCGTTATCATAACAATTAAACTTAAAAAATGTTGCATTTTTCCGACTCTGGTTCAAGATAAAAATGAATAAATATTATTCTTAAATTCAAATTTATAAACTGATATCACGGTCAATTATCTCTATTAGAAATTAACTTGGTAATTTTGAGCTTTTGTGTATATGTATACACTGGAAAGCAAACATGTAGTAACCAGCAGCTTTGTAGGATTAAATTTTAGTTATTTTACAACTAGTTGCACAAACGTTTATTAAAATTGTCATTAGTTTAAAGCGACATTACCAATACAAATTTGACATTCATTAGAGCTTAAGGGCGTCATTAAACCTAAATGAATGTTTGCGCAACTGGCCATTAGTGTGCTTTCCAGCGTCGATATTATCAATCACTCAATACCGTCACCGCACACGTGCTTATGTGTCAAAGGCTATAATATTAGTGATGTGCCGAGTCGGCTATATTTGGTATTCGAATACTTTGGTACTCATTAAAAAAGAATCGAGTCAGTACCCGAGTCAGAAGACTAGCACAAGTATTCAAATACTTCACTGGACTAGTGTATTATTTGAATCGAACTTTGTAGTTTGACGACAACTACACATTATAATGAACTATGAACAATAGGAAAGTATTTCAATAATAATAGATTAATACAGCTATAATCAATCATTTAATTATACTTGGGTAATTATGAACATTATTAAAAAGTTCTATAGAAGCACCCAAAGTAAATCTTGCTTTTATAATTTTAATCTTACTAAAATTATCGAAACCGTAAATAACTTTAAAATAAACAATTATATAAAATGAAATAAGAAAATAAACACGAACACTTATGTTAAAAACTTTTAGTTACGTCGTAAACGTAAAAAACTTCTATAAAAATATAAGTAATCAACGAAAATAAAATTATAGTACGAAACTAAGTACTTTCTGAACGAATTGTTCTGTATCATTAGCAGTGGTCGGAATTAAGTAGAGTTATTCGTGTACTTACACTGATTTCATACAGCGAAAGAATAAAGTGGATATGCCTCAAATCCCGAGATTAATTGTAAATTAATGTAAACTAATAAAAATTTTATGTTAATTATCTTTGTTTTATTTGTCTATCTCTGACGTCGTTATTATTATTTAGTTGTAAGATTGTTGACCACACGGGATTGTCCATTAGAAATCCCGGGAAGGTCCACATTAATATCAACATTTTGATGCAAGTACATAAATAACTCTACCTAATTCCGGCCTCTGATCATTAGTCGAAAATATAACCGTACGTGTTAAATATAAAAGGTTGCTATTAAAGTACACGACTCAGGATTCGAATACCGTAAGTACTCGAATCCTGTACTCGAGTACCTGCGTATCCGAATTCTGTATTTTAAGTACTCGAATAGCCGAGTACCTGCTAAGTATTCGAGTAAGTACTCGAGTCAGTCCGACTCGGCACATCTCTACTATATATGGCGGCCACGTACCGGGCGGGTACCGCGGCGGCGGCGGGCGCGGGCGGCGCGCGCGCGTGGGCGGCTGCCCGCGCGGCGGCGGGAACATGGTGGCGTTGCCGCTCAGCACCACGCGCAGCTGCTGGTCTATCTCCAGCTTCTCCGCGCGCAACTGCTCCACTTCCTGTGCGATGCCCGAACCGAATGTTATTCACGTTTATATTAAACTAGCTCACCCGCTAGCGGCGTCGCCACACGTCTTGTATTATACATGAATCGCTCTATCTATGAAAAATAACCGCATCAAAATCCGTTGCGTAGTTTTATAGATTTAAGCTTACATAGGGATAGCTTACATAGGTACAGAGAAAGCGACTTTATTTTATACTATGAAGTGAAATATTACAAAAACCAAAAATTTTATTTTTCATAATAATTCTAAGGAACAGAAATACTTCGCCGCGTGGTAAGAGACGAGGTTATAAAAGATTCTCGGAGGACTGTTCAGTGACAACTCTACATTGTCCTTGGGAAATTAAATCAGGAAGATGTAGCAGAGTCGCCCCTTTTGCGAGCGGAGAGGTTACACGCAAACCTCTCCTAGAAAGACAAGGAATTTTTTACTAATAATAAATGATAGACTGAACAACATCTATTAGAACTGGATACTTGAATTATATCAATAAATTATGAAATATGTTAGAATCAGGTAGTTGAATGTAAAAAAAACAATGTAGTCTTTTTTGTCTACACTAATATTATAAGAGAAAAAATTAGTTTGTTTGCGCCGAATAGACTCCGGAACTACTAGACCGATTTTAAAAATTCATAACTCATAACATAGAACATGGGTTATATTATAACCTGTAAAAAGGGAAGAAAATAGAAGTAGAAGTTTGTGTGGGGAATCAAAACGTTACGTTACCTTAATTTTAATTATAACCGTGTCATGATAAGAATGTCCAAATAAACGGTTCCCGATGGACGCAGACGAAGTCGCTGTCGGAAAGCTAGTTACTTTTTTTTTCATTTTTACAAAGTTAACTTGTGATTCTTGCGAGTGCAATAAGTACTCATCTTTATTAAAATGTAATGTTACAAAACTAATTGATTTTCCTTTACTTATAAGATGCTTTGGATAAAAATAAATCTGATTGTGGTATGAAACTATTAACATACTTTTCCGAGAACATTCAAGTAGCTAATTACCACATGTACCTACAATAAATAAACTATTCGCGTAACACTTTGTATGATGTTGTTATAAAGTTTTGAGACCCCATAAGCTACCCTGATCTAATCTAGATATAATTATATCCAGTTCGCAATAGTGCATTCAATAGGGATGATGACTAATTTTTGTTTGTTTGTCCGTCAGGTAGAGTGTTAAAAAATATTAAATACGTATTTTTTTCGTAATCATAAAATTACGTTACATCGAGTTGAAATTTCGCATGACGTCTCGTTAGAGTACGTTTTCTACTCAACTGTGACGTCAACTTTAATGCCTGTTATCTATTTCTTGTTAAATTGAAGTAAAAAAAAATACGTATCTAATATTTTTGACTGACTGACGGACTAAATAGAATTGCATTTTTTTTATCCCTATTTATTGTATCTGTACGAGACATCGTACATAACTATTATAACAATCACGAAAAACTTCATATCGGCATATCTGCCGTAACATAAATTTCTGTAATTAGCTATTAAGTCAGTCAGTGCAATAAACGCATTCTATCAACGCGGTCGTATCATTATCATAGCATTTTCCCAGCATAGTTCAATCTTAGTTCAGCATCCTTTAGGGAAAGCACCCTACAGTATCCATTTTTGTTTTGTCCGTTGATGTACTGTAAATATTTTTTCATGGATTTCGTTCATTCATTCATTCACCTTTAGATTGGTGTACAATAAATATTTTTTGCTCAATTTCGTTTATTCATTCATTCACCTTTAAATGCGCGACGTGATATTCGACGAGCACTTTCGCGTTAGCGATGTTCTCTCTGGTACCGACGAACACGAATGGCACCATGCCTTCCTCGCGCGGCGCCGACGGCTCTGGCTCATTATCACCCTCCACTTTCACCTAAATCACCATTTCAAAACAAACGTAAGTATATATACAACCAACAAATTAAGTAACAATTATAGAATCAATCATATACACAAAATAATATTGAAATAGATAAACTTATCTTTTATTAATCTATAAAAACTTTCCATCAGATTCCATCCAATTTATGTTTCTACTTATATGTCCAAGAAGACATTTACTTTTTACCTCACATAAGGTAAAAGTTAACAAAACGGATTATCTATTACTATTAGACAAGGATTTTTATTTATTTATATACTTTGATAAATAGCTTGTATAAGAATAACATGTATTATACCTCGACACCATCCTATTTTTTGTACTATCGCCAGTTAACTATGGCGACGAGCTCGTTAACGCGACAAGATTGTAGATATCGAAAGGAAATAATGAAGCTTAGCAATTTCTCACTTACATTGCATCTGATCTTTATTATTTTTATTATTTTTTGTTTAGTATTCGTCATTTTATAATAATAACTCATTCTATAAGTATGTTTTATATAAAGATTGATAGGTAACATCTTCAATAAAAACAAAAAAAAAAACTTCGCATAAACTAAATCTTTAGATGGCCATTGCTCACACTCAATCACCAGTTAGTAGAAGTATTTATCACTCGATGAGACTATTCAATCAGGTGAGATTTTATACAGAGGGAACGACAACAACCTTTCTCAGTATTATAGTAAACAAGTACATGTCTTACCCTGACGACGCCACTCTTGTCGACTATCTCTTGTATGACTTTGCCGTTTTTGCCTATAACTTTGCCAACCAATGCACGTGGTACAGTGATCGACTCCTCCGCGTATTCTAGCAGTGAGCGCGCCATACGCACCGCTTCTGTCGACTAACATATACATAAATATTAGATATTAGTGCAGATTCTGCTGTGCCGCTTTCTTAAAGTAAAATGTTATCATTCAGGTTCCTTTTAACACTATTCTATAGTCGAAACTAACGAAGGAAAAGTAATTACTCTGTGTGCTATTATATAATAGTAAATTTATTATTAATTTCTGTAATAATTATTTATTTTTAAAATTGAAAATGCACTATGGCAAGACCTAAATTAAGTCTGGTTTATGCAATTGAATTTCTATGAATATTACATACTTTTTCAGAACCCAAGTAGAATAAATATGATACATACATAGTAGATAGCACAACCACACAAGCCAGAGACAGTTTGATACTCAGGATTATCTTATAAAAACATAGTTCACTATAAATAAATCACCCTGTTAGCCAAAGGTAGCAGGTTACACTTCCTACCAGAGAATTCAGTAATTTTCTTTGATAAAAAGATTAATATTTGTTGGGAATTTGATACTACTCAAGCGACATTAGTCTTAAAGCCGTTGGCCCTGAAACTCCCATTCACTGTAAGCACTATGTTTGTCCGGTCGGTGAGTCGGCCGCCGAACAAACGAGGTGTCAAATGAAACTTTACAAGTGACCCCTCTGAATGTGCTACCTAAGGCAATAGTCTGATCTCCGAGGATCAATGAGAATAGAGTTACAAGATAAATAATGGGCATCGGAAAATGTCGCAAATAATTTTCTGACAATATAAAGAAAATTAACACAAAGTAGTTGAGTTCATTTACAATTTCGACTTTATTGCAATTAAATAAATATTAACGTCAATTATACAACAAATCAGTTGTATGCCATGTTAGTTGCGCGTCGGTGTCACTAACTTGTCAGTTGCAGACGCTATTGGAAGCTGGAAGGATATGAATTATATTGAGCTGATAAAACACTACATCATATTTTGTTTAATGTATTTCTCAAGTACCCATGTAATCTGTAAAGGGATATAGTCTAAGAGTAGCTCTATATAATTATACTACCTCAATGTGCCGATCATCTTCGGAAACACGAAGTTAGCCGATACCCATTATTAATCTTGAAGTATTGTATATAAGGTGAAATATTATTATATGCCAAAGACGTGGGGTGGATGAATTAAGTATGTCATACTACTTTTACTATGGGAACAACATCACAAAAAATATCGGCTGTTTAATACAAAATTGTAATACCTACAATCATGAACAGTATGAAACAGGTGTTGATGCCATAGTAAAAGTTGTTCAGTATACTTAACTCATCCACCCCACGATGTTCTGGCACATATTAATATTACACCCGGACATTTTAGGCGCCTCTACCTTAGCAAGTTAAGATATACAGTCGTGTTACCTCCCCGCAGATCTTGAAGGTGCAGGAGACCTCCTCGAGCTCGATGTTGGTGACGCCGGGCACCTTGCGCGCGTGCTGTATGTTGGCGCCGTGCGTGCCGATCGCGAGGCCCATCAGATCCTCGCGCACGGAAAACTCGTCCGTGTATCTGGATTGATCACTACATATTATAAAACAAAGTCAACCGCCGCTTCTGTCTGTCTCTCAATCTGTCTGTTCGCGATAAACTCGAAAAGTACTGGACGGATTTTCATGCAGTTTTTTTTCTCAATAGATAGAGCAATTCTCGAGGAAGGTTTTAGTGTATAGCAAGTTTAGGTTTTGTACAGACTGACGATATTACAACGACGAACAACAATGTCGGAAAAAATAAATCGGAAAATTTTCTCGAAAACGCCGCCAAAAACTTTTGAGTTATAACAAAACATTGTATGGTGGAATTTTACCTCTTTAATAAATCAACAAAAAAATCCGCGGTAGTATATGTCTATATTCCAAGGATAACCCACAATAACCATATTTTTACGTATACTTAAAACAGGGAAATGATAAGTTATTTACGAACCTATTTTTAACAATACAGTATTAATCTTTATTCAAATAAATAAGTTAGATACGTTATGCATGTAATGTAGATCAAAATTGCGTTTTACACTATATCAAAAAAAATCAATAACTAATGAGTTATCGAAAAATAAAAAAAAGTCCGGGCGAGCTATTAAATATCGATGAATAAAAATGAATCGCCGAAACACGCACATAACTTCCTAATTACAGTTCCAACTGCACCTAATTGGATGATTCTATTTTTCCATGACACGGTTTGTATATTAGATTTTGTTTTTAAACGAGTATAAGGCGGTACGTAGTTCGCCGGGTCAGATAGTTAATAATAATTTTAATGGCACAACACCAACAGAGTGACAGCTTAACTCTCGCTACAATTCTAGCCATAGCTATAAACGCGTTATATTGATTTTATCATTGAATACGTTAATATTATTTTACAATGATATGTTTTTTTTTAATATATTTAATAACTCTTGATAATTTTTCGAATTAGCTTATTACATATTTTTTGGGTAAAACGGGATCCCTATTATAAAGGGACTGTCCGCATCGAGCGAATTACTATTGCAGAATTACGACAGTAAATTTTTAATCATACACATTGAACCATATGCGAATATCCACACTTGCGGAAAAAAATCGTGTTGACTATAGATTTTCGCGTTTGCCGAAAATAACGAAATTCATATTGAAATGCTTATAATGCTAATTCAAAATAGACCATGATAGGCAATTAGGCAATCAGAAAACGAGGTTGTGGGAAGATATATATATTAAATTAGATCAAACTAATTAAAATTGTACTGTAGCTCATTTTTAAGGTTCACTGTCTGTCTGTCAGAAGACTGCATCTCATAAATCGTGATGGTAAGGCAGATAAAATTTTTTCAGATTTAACAGAATTTTAAAATCTTGCATTTTCTTATACTATCTATAAAAAACAGATTCCTAGTTTCTACTTACCCTCCTTGATTGTGAATTTTAGTTGACTCAAGTTGTCTTGCTGCCTCTTCAGTCTTTTTTAGCAATAACAGCTTCTGAGCTAAGTTCCTGTGAATTAATACATAACATTGTAACAATCAAGACTGAGGTGTTCTCAGACAATGAGAATAACGATAAAACATTTATTTATAGAGATCGTTTAATAATTAGTACATTAATGTGATGTAATAATTAGTATAATACAAAAAATAAATAAATAAAACTACTATAATTTTTAGGTCTAATATAAGTCCCCACTGAAAGGGCTCAGGCCTTCCTTATAGATGGTTAAGGAGGATGGGCCACGGACACTCCACGCTGACCTAATGCAATGAAGTGTATTAACGACTGCAAATACAGTCGGGACCAAAGACTTAACGACAAATTTTTGGTCACCCATCCCGTGACAACCCCCTTGTGAAAGTTGCGTAACAACGAGCGCGGGCCGCGGCGCTTATTCACTACGCCATCGAGCTACTCTTGAATGAAATAATGTCTCAAACTATACTTAAACGTCACTTTAAGTATAGTTTGAGACATTATTGCAGTTTGATAAAACTAGGACTTTTTGACTTGTGAAACATAAAAACTCAAGTTATTGAGAAAGATCATTTGAGATTTTGTACTTTTCTCAATTCAGAAACCGGCTAAAATGCTTTTTACCCGACGGCGCGACGCAAGGGAGGGTAATGTGTTTATCAGTCTATGTATGTTTGTTTCTATGTGGCATTCTCGAGACCAAATGCGTAGGCCGATTTTGATGATTCTTACGTCAATCGATTCGTCTTAACCTTGCGAGTATCACTAAAGACATGACAGTAATCGAAATTCACCACAGCGACAACCAGACGCCATATTGTCTAAATGAAAAAAAAAATCGATGAACGTTGAATAGGTATTTTAAAATCATCTTTAAATTCCTTTTATCGTTTTTCATTTTAAACAGTTTAGGATATAAGTATAACGATTTAAAGTTTTTTAACAAACAATATTATCTCCCTCGATGAAATGACTAGATTGCGAAATTTACCATCTTATAACAAAGTCTAATATAAAATAAATAATTTAAAGAAAAACAAAAAACCCGACTGCGTAAAAACGAATTTAAAAAAAGTAAATGAACAAATTAACTTAAATAAAAACTAAATAGAAAGAAACAAGCCCAGTAGTTTAGAATTCTACATTTATTTTTTAAAATTCGTTTTTACGCAGTCGGGTTTTTTGTTTTTCTTTAATGTAACAGAAACAGTCTTCGCAGTGTCTCACCTAAAGTGCATCTCTTGCAGCATATCAGCGCGTCGGTGGGAGGTCTCGCAGCGCGATATGACGGCGAGCACGGCGCGTTCGGGCACGTACCAGACGAGCGCGGCGCCGATCGCCTTCTGGAACTCCTTGTGTGCATTCTCCACCTTAGCACTGTGCATGTCATGCAAGCTGCGGGAATAAAACACTCTGAGTCCTTAAAGCTTATGTATATTGGGATGAAGGGACTTTTCGAAATGTTGACATCATTATTTTTTTCTCTAAATTAATATTAAGTAAGTGAAATTCTGTGAACCTCTTGATTAAATAGGAAAAATGGCTTTCAGAGGCATACAATAACCTGGCAGTGGTTATTATATATATTTTATAACAAAAAAAAACAAGGTTGTGAGTGATATAAAAAAACAAGGTTGTGAGTGATATAATAGCACGTTTTATTTTTGTCTGAAATATTAATTAGCTAGAAATTAAAATATATTAATTTATTTGCATATGGACGCCAACATTTTTTTCTTTATTTTTCTTTCCTTTCTTTTCCCCCTCTATCTGCAATCAGCCTCTAGGGCCTAGATAATGTATAGTAGAAACATGAGCCTAGTCTAGGCTTTAATCATATGCGCTAACTATGTTGCAACCGACCTCTGCTTCTGATTCTGCAACTGCAGAAGTTTCACATGTTTTCTAACATGCGTTTCTGTTTCCATAACTTTTATAAAGGAAATTTAAATGGAACGATCATTCACAACACACTGTTTGCTCGGAAGCTTGTTTGTTTGTTTATAGAGCGTGCGCGGTAGGTTGGGGAGGGGGGGTATGAATGTTCCCGGTGGGCGCATGCGATACTCGTTTTGGTTGGGCGTGAAGTGTTTATTTTTAGTAAAAATTAAGCTTATTATATAAAATATTGTTTATGCTAAGTTTTATTGTAATTTCTATTTCTGCTTCTGTTAAGTACCTTCCGATGCACCACTAGCTAACATCTACCATTATCAAGCCGGGTAATATTTCAGTAAGAAAGTTGGCCTAATCTGCTTCATATTTCTACTATTTCATCAAACATAATAATTAAATGTAATGAAATACCTGAAAATTAAAACTTACTAACAAGTATATGTTTGATGACATAGAATGTTGTAGGACACACTTTCTTAAACATTCTAGGTCTACAGATCCCTGTAGGAAATCAAGCACTATTTCCCTGCTTTACTGAAGAAAGCAATACAGACCACTTATTATTATTACAAATTATCAACAGTAAAAATGCATATGAAAATTTTACAAATGGGAAATTATATAGTTCATTATAAACTTTTCGCTAGCAAATCAGCATTTCAGAACATACAATAGTATAAACATAACTTTTAACTTAATATAAATCAAAAAGATAAACATTCAGTTGTAATTGCAAATCTTTTTTCAAACCTATGACATTATCACTTGAGTAAACAAATAAAATTGTGCTCATTTAAAGTTTAAACTGACTTTTATTAATATTCTCTACTACATTTTAACAGCTGTATACATATATACTGACTTTATTCTTTGAAAATAAAACAGGCAACTTACAAAATAATACTTAATTGAATTATCACAAGCAGCAAAACTTATCTAATAACTACATTATTGTGACTTTTTTGTAAAAAATACTGGTAGTATATCACATTAAATTCACTTCACCTAAATGAATTTCATTTAATGATTTTAAGCACTTTTTGACCCCCCACCCCTAAAGATTGGCATTTTTAATATTGTAAATAGCTGTACTAGTGTTCAAATCTGAAAGACATGGATTATAACGATAAAACTTTACATAAACCTAATACCATATTATCAAACTGTAATTAAAAAGTTCACTGAACTTATTTCCATAAATAAACTAATATTATCAATGCAAAATAACTGTTTTCTTTCACAGCAAAATTCTTAGTCTGTTGTAATTAGATTTGAATCAGAAAAGTTTCAAAACTGGAACTTAAATCCAAACTACCAATATTTGAAACCACCAAACCGTTCAGGCAATGTAACTATGCAAAAATAAAAAAGTTAGCGATAAATGTTACAAGTTTTATAAGATACCAATTTAGACTTAGGTGACAAATCTGTTCCCCAGGATAACATATATTTTTATTAGATGATTTCAGGTTATACAGTCCGTCAGTTTGCAATGCAGTTAGATACACTGAATTAGGTCACTACCAATAGCAATTGTATTGTAACAATTATTGAAATTGTATGTTTTTTCAAACAAAAATGCAACATTTGCAGATGATAGCGTGGGGAATATGGAAATGTCGATTTTTGTACTAAAATTTATTTAGTACAAAAATCAACAAAGTCAATCATTAAGGATTTTTCCAATTATCGGGCCTGAATTGAAGGACTTCTAAAATTAATTGTAAGTGATCAAATTTATGATATTATTTATCAGGTTACAAAAAATGTAGTGGCCCAGATGCTTCTTTTTTCATTGGTATATTAAAATAAGAAGACATTATTTTTAGGTTGTTTTAAAAAAAGTTTTTTTATATAACTTACATAAATAAATAAGTCTACTTACTAGTCCTTGAGATCGTCAGGTACTGTTATTTCAAACTTATGGAAGGTGTTTTTGTCAATCGGTGTTTTGGGTGTCTTGACCCTGAGGCGGTCCTTTGGCACTATTTCTGTATAGCAGTTGTCCCATTCTAAATACTCTATTACGAGGAAGTCACCCCTTATCATCTGAAATTGTAAAAACAAAATAGTTACAAAATTATTATTTATAACACCAAATATTATTTCAATACTTATTTAAAGTTTTAATTATAATACAAAAAGTTAAACTCAATAAAACCAAGGTTTCAAGGACAAAACTTTTCAAAGGGTCATCTTTAAGCTATATGCTAAATACCACCTGGTCTGGGATAATATGGAGGGTGAATAATACTGGTTATCAAACAAGAATTTAGTTTTAAAAAACACAAAGGATTAAAGTAAAATTAGGTACTTAAAATAGTATTATTACACAAAAGAGGGTAGTACAAATAATAAATAATATAGCTTTACAAATCAAATTTTCGCCTTTTGTTTGTTTATATTTATTAACATCTTCATTTTGTAATTCAATACCTTGATATTTGCTGTCCACCACCCACATGCTTCCTTTTCATTTGACCTCGCAAATACTTCGACCTCTTGGGTCTCCACGAATTCTGTGTGTTTGCCAGTGTCTTTAGGTGGCAAGAACACTTGCGAGAAAGGGAATTTAGACTCCGGTTGCCAGCTACAACACAAAATATAATGTAAATAAAAAAATGACACAATAAACTCTCCATAAATATTTCAGATGATTTGAAAGTAAAATAATTTTAACTCACTCATTTTCAAAGGCTACGAGAACCTCGTTGTCGAGCACGTCGGTGACAATGGCCTAAAAATAAAGGAAATTTCAGAACATTTTCATGATCTAATAATTTGGTAGTGTGCTCGAAATAAATATGTTAACTAGGTCAGATATGCGAAAAAACGGAACTACAATAAAATCTGGAGATATGCCTACACAGATTTTATTTCACAATCTATTCTAAAAATATAGAAATTAGCAAATTTACAACACATGGAAAAATCACGCCCTGTCAGACGGACATGGCGTCCATTCCAGCCGCGATGATCTTCCCGGAAAAATATTTTTGTAAGTAAAAGAAGCATAAAGAAAAAAACACATGGAAATCATTCACAACATGACTCATTAATTAGTCAGACATCTGCTTAGCGTAATTAAGATGTACTTCACGATTTACAAACCTTATAATAAGCACCATTTTCACCGTACACCTCGACCGACAAATCCTCCATTTTGGTTTGAAAAGCGTATTTGGCGTTTTCGGAGTGAGAACAAACTCTCGAAAGGAATCAACTAGCCAATCACGTCAAAGTATTTCAACATAGACAAAAGCCAAAGCGTTTATTTTTTTAGAGCTGTAGTTGTGTTTATATTGCTTTTGAGTTGCTGCGGCTGTGTTTTTGGTATAGATTAATTTAAAATCAGAATGGGAGTCCCCCGTAAAATAAAACGTGATTATGTGTCGTTACTACGGATGAGTAAAACAGTTAAATCTGAGTCACAGTAAATACTGACTTTTAGTATATACTGATTTTTTACGGTATTTGATCAATATTTACGCCTAAGACACAACACTTTTTTCGTATTTGTATTGATATCTAAGTTTCAGTTTTCAAATCAAATAATTTATTGCATGACACATAAAAATTATAAGATGGTAACTATTTTGTTGTTCGTGTACATGTGACGCCCTGTAAGGGCATAGTAATGTTGCAATACAATTTTGGAAGATTGAAAAAACACAAATAAAATTTAATAATTTTAGAAATTATATGTCAAGAAACTCATAACAACAATTAAATTAAATATAAATTAGGTATTTCAAATATTACAATGTTCATCAATAACAATGTTAAATTTAATAATAATAATAAAATATTTATGTCAGTATTTCATTAAAAGCGATATCTATATTGTAATATGCTTTATTTATTAAGAATAATTATAATTAATTATTTAATAGCATTTTAGTTTCCAGATTTTTCATACAGTTTTTTATTGAGATAGCATGTGGGCCAGACGAGACTATTTCTAATTTAGAGAAGTGTATTTTTAGTTTAATTAAATACCTATTGTCTAACGTTGTGTGTCTATTACTACTTGTACAAATGAGGAAGTATTTAAAAAAAAACATTACTTCCCGAAATCTAACTAGATGACGTCAAGGTACGTTCTTGATTTCTCCATGACAACCTTTTCTGTTTTCTTTCAAGATTAAAAGTAAATTAGTTTTCAAAACTCAATAAATAACTCATATTCTACTTGTACTTTTTCGTCTATTTGATATCTAAGTTTCGAAGTTTTCAAATTTCAGTTTTTAAATATGTTAGTTAATAGGAACGGATATGACTGTCTTTATTCCATTCGTTTCCTGCAAAAATCAACTTTTGCTAGAGTCGCCATCTAGTGGAGGTACGTTTTAGTGCTTTCGTTTTATTTAAATACTTCCTCATTAACAGGACAACTAGCTTAAATGATCTCAGATAAAAATTTATGCGAATCATTTTAATTATTTATTTCATTCGAAAACTTACAGCTATAATATATGTAATTAACTGCGAACTAATATTATTCAAAATGTTTGTGTTAAGCAAAAAGTGCAAAAAACAATTTAAAAAAGCCAGCCAGCAATGTCATTAGAAAGAAGTAAACAGCACTATCAGAAAATCTATTTTTCTCTTACCGTACATAATATTTATCTTGTAAAAATCTGACACCGATCTAAAAAAAATATTGATGTATTCCATACGGGTCTGAAAAAAAACTAAAAAAACTGAACAAATGAGTAGTTATAGGATTTTTAAAGTACTTGATTTACTGCTTATTCGCAATATAAAACCAAGATTCTTGAACGCCGAAGCAACTACGTGATCATTATGAGGATTAAATGACAACCCAGAATCTATGATGATACCCAAATCCCTAGTCATTCTTTGTAGACTTAGCCGTTTATATTGTTATCATATGTTATTATAATATTTTTCTTACGTGTGTAGGATATTGTGGAACATTTATCTGTATTGATAACAATTGATTGATAGGTAATATAGTAAGCGTTTAGGGAATTGAGGTCCTCCTGGAGTTTAAGACAATCGGGGGGAGATTTTATCACTCGGTATAACTTTGTATCATCGCCATACAGAAGATATTGGCTATGTTTTAGTGTATCATCCATATTATTTATGAACGATGCCTGAAGAACCCATCTTGTTCACTGACAATAAGATTTTGTAGAGATTGTGAGCTGTGACCATTTTCTCCATAATCTTACCCAAGACACAAGACTTAGAAATAGGTCTGTAATCTTCTTTGGAGTCTTTTTTATTGTTTTTTTATGTAATTCCTTGTTCTTTTTTAATTTCTTCTTTTTTTCAATAATAGGAGTTATTGAGATAGATTTATTTAGTTACAGACATGAGACAAACGTACATAAAATTGACAAAAGGTTTTTAAATGATACAATTAATTTAAAAAGAAAAAATGACACATAGGGCTGTATTTATTTTTGTATCTCACAGCCGCAACAAAAAAGGTAGCCAATTCAGCAATTTGTCAGGTCCTTATCGAACCCGACGCTGATTTTCAATTGGCTCTTTTTTTCTCAGCAGGTAGACGCCAATTTCTTCGAGCTCACAATAAAATTAAAAAAAAACACAGTACAAAAAATTACATATAAACAATCATAAACAATAGTAGGGTATTTGACACTATCGAAAATAAGTTGCATTTTATGGTCATCCTGATAGATAATAATCTAATAAAGCTTATTTCTTAACATCTGCAGAAAAAACATGTTTAGATTTAGTAAAATAACGTAAAGAAAATGCAATATTTTTAGGAATCTATTCAACGACGGAAACGTCCTATAATTGGTCGTCGTCACAACCAATCACGCACGATTCTATTTACTGGCCTTGGACGTCATCCATCAGCTGTCATGTCAAAGTAGTGTTAGAGAGATAAATAAAATATCGATGCCCGTAGGTATCGAGTACTTTATAGTAATTTACTGATAACAGAATACTTTGCCGCTTCTACTGATAAGAACTGCCAAAAAGAAATACAGAAATCATTTACTAAGCTTTTTAAAAAATCCAAGAAATAGGGAAAACGCCAGCAATTTAAAAAAATACCAACTTACATGTTTTTCTCATTTCTTAAACTTTACTATAATAATTCAAAATTACAAAGTCGATTCTGATGATATATAGTTAAAAACTAATTTTAAAAAATCATCGGTATCTAATTATCAATTGCTATTCATTTAGTGGACAGACATACTACATGCATGTATAAAAAAAATAGAATATTGTTTTTCCTACTAATGTCTCATCCATCTGTAGGTCGACAGGCTGTAAAGTGCGAGCCCTGTCAACAAATATAAATGAGTCGTAAAATATTAATGACAAAGAAAAAAACCAAAAAGAAAACCTTCAAATGTATCGATATGAAATAAAAAAGTTTCAATACTTTTAGCGAATCCTTACCTAATCCATCTCTACTCTATATAGCTAGATACTATACTATTGTGATTGTGAATCTATTTTCTTCTAGACTCGAAGTTTGTCTGTTATTTATAGAAGTGTTAGTACATTGTGACACTACGCACCACTTGTAGCTCACTTTTTAAAGAAAACCAGAGCAGAGGAAAATAAAAAACGTAAAAAATATGCACTACGACTTCAATTACTCTTTTAAATTATTACTTCAATATACTCTAGGGATGATCGATATTCATCGATGTTTTAAATTGGATAACATCGGCACATCGATGTTTTCGTGCCAAACATCGATGTTTATGAATAAAATGTCAAGATACCCTTTGGGCCATCTAACGTGCTCCAGATGTACTAGCTAGATGATCTCGTATATCAAGTTTAACTTTTTTATACTAGATGTCACCGGTTGCACTCGTAACTGGAGTACGCAAACAAATAGTTTTTTCTTTGCTTGCATTTTCCTAGGAAATTAGAAATAAATCTGTCAACTTCAGCGCTCGTTGGTATCTTATAAGTTACTTTATTCATCGGTCTTAGTTTCAAAGATTCGTACATTAGATAGTTCCACGTGCGAGTGCGGAATCGAAAAAGGTGCCACTGATCCCATCCTTTTTTTTTTTTTTTGACGCTGAGAAATGCGTTACGCATACCTGCTTCACCCTGCGCGGGCTCCACGGGTGATGTGGGACTCCTCCTGTGGCCCCACCCCCGAGGGGGCTAGACAAGAAACAGGAGTTTACCCACTAAAACTCAGCGATGTCCCTCTCATGGTGGGCGATGCGCGGGATCGGCCCGAAGGCCATACATCGTGCAGTTCGCCCCCATTCGGCCCGCCCTGAAAAGGGCAGGTCCCACTCGGGTTGGGGGTACGCCTCAGAGACATTCAAGACACACCCCCACGACGAGGCAGGAGCGTGCAATGCCGACCGGTGCGCGAACCAGCCAGCTGCCCCTGCTAGAGACCGGAGATGCGCAACTTTGCAATCTCCGGTCCCTACTGATCCCATCCTCTTCAACTGTCTGAAACAACCTACTTCATATGAGCAACTTCCATCTAAAACACCCCGTCCCATTAACCTTAATACTATCTTGTCTATTTCTGACATACCTATCTTTTTACGTCTTGTAAGCATATTAAAAAATATAACAATACACTATAATCTTCATGGCACTATCATATATTTATTGCTATAATTTTATTTAATTTATTAGTACAATTTTTGAAGTTTGCTTTGTGTTTTACTTTTAGAACAAGGGAGGAAGAAAACTATTAAAAACCGTTTCTCACTATCCCGCAAAATTTCTGTGTGAAACAGAAAAATGTCATTTATGTATATAAAAAAAGTTACTTTATGCTCGTTGGGCTTGTTCTCTCTCCGTGAAACTCCCGCGTGATTTTTTATGACACTTGTCTTATTCCATTACTTTTATGTTAAGGGGTAGAATCCACCTATCCCACATTAGAAAAGATTGCATTAAAATATTTATGTTGCACAGCGACTTTTACGGCTTCAGAGAGGCTTTTTTCTAAAGCTGGTCAATTCCTTTGACAGCAACGCAATCGATATTTGGGGAACATCGATGGTTTTCATCGAATTTTGACTTCAATGCCATATCGATGTTATTCAAATATCGACCATCCCTAATTTACTCTAAAGACAGTTGTTACTTATCAATTTGACATATTTACTGGCCTGTGACGTCACGATCAGCGCCATTACATAGAGAAGCGTTTTTCGCGCGCTTTTGGCTATTTAAATTTTAACAATTATTTACACCAAAAATAGAAAAGATTCCAATGAAATATTATGACAGTGTGTTTATAATGTAGCAAACAACGATTTAAAATAGTTTTCAGAAAAGTGTCAAATATCCTATTATCACATCTACCATTATACTATTTATTATTATTAATCAATATTTTATTATTATTATTACATTATTCGTAATTGACTTTATAAACTTATCAATTGCTAAGTATTCATATAAATATTACAATACATTAAATATTGTTCAAAATATTTGACTAGACTCAATATACTTCCGACCACAACACAGTGTGCAAGCTAATTCATATTACTTTGTCTGAAAAAAGTGTATACAACAATTTTGTTTTTGAGATCGGTACCTGATATTTATAAGAAAAATATCATAATTAGAAATAGATTGCTATTTTACTTACTAAAGAGACGGCTGGCACCGACTACAAAAAAATGTTGGTGTTATCAACATATATGTATATTACGCCATTTCATTCATCATCATTAACACATTAGCACTGTACACGGCTTTAAATCTAAACTAAAAATAATATTTCTTTCCTTTTATTCGTAACCACAAACTACATGACGATTTTTAAAGTCGGTTTATATTTTTTTGCACTGTATCTCTATCAACTTCTTCTTTTATTAACGGCTTATCTGCGCATTTCGCACAATTCTGCCAATGTCAAGTGAATAAATTCTTTAATTTCTACATGTAAAATGAAAAAAAATGAGCTTCTAGTTCGGAACACACGTCTATGCTTTAATAATCCAAGATTTGGCTGTATGGCTTAGTTCCTTCGCCTGTCCCATGGACGAATTATAATACTACTACTACGTCTATGCTTTATTATTGGCATTGACAAATGTCAAACAAATGTCATTCATTCGTGTTGTGATGAATGTGTTACAGATACAGATATAGGTATTTTCCGTATGTTAGTTGCCACGTATTAATGTTCACATTTTAAAAGTAATCAAATTATTTTTATTGGATTAAATCTCGTATAATATTTAATCACAAATAAAGCTTACCTTTCGTAGGTGTAGTTCATGCAATGAGTGGTAAGAAGAATGTTGTATTGGTTACCGGCGGTTCAGGCCTGGTCGGGCAAGCAATTAAATCGATCATCGAAAAGGAACAAACACAATATACTGAAACTATAAAAAACGAAACTTGGGTATTTTGTGGGTCAAAAGATGGTGATCTCAGGTATTTTAAAAGTTCTAGTTGATCCTCATAGAAAAGTACCTATATTTCGCTCTGTCACATATAGTTTTATGTTGTTACTCATTTTTCGAGAAACATTCCTGCCCTGAGCTTCTGTAAAAATCCAAACCCGAATTCGAATTCACTCCAAAAAGCGGCATCCGCTCAACCTTTAATAGATAATAACTTTTTGTGGCATATGTAAAGTGAGTTTCGAAACGACATAAGAATATAACACGTATATTCAATAAATTTTCTTTTGTATTTGTATACCAAAAATTGAATCAGTAGGATTTCTATACTCAATGATGTCAATTTGGACACATGAGTGAATTCTGAAATTGGCTTTTGATTTTTATAGAATCGTTGGGCTGATCTAATATTATATCTCTAAAGAAAAATCGGAACACTAAGGATCAATGGGTTGTTTTATTTTATATATTCATAGGCAACTTAAAATTGTGAATACCGTTTATTGTCATATTATTTTTATCAGTTGAGTTAGATTATTAAATGTTTATATTTAAAATTGGGTTCTTAACTCATTATAAAGAAAAAGGTGCCCCTACTAAATACTATTCTTTGATATCCAATGTTAGTAGATATCTTGCTAGCCATTGATTGATGTTACAAATACGTATGTTTGATAAGGATTAACATTTTCTTTGACACTTTTTATGATGAGTATGTGTTTTGCTTTCAGAGATAAAGCCCAAACAGAGGCATTGTTTGAAAAGCATCATCCCACATATGTGATTCATTTGGCAGCAATGGTTGGAGGTCTCTTCCATAACATGGCACATAATTTGGATTTTTTTGTGAGTGTTTTGTTTTGAGATTTTTTTTATCTAATTTAACAAAAATCTATTATAAAGATATGCAAATGCAGTTATGGCTAGCAATAATTATACTGAGCTATATAACTAGTAATTAATAAATAAAATTGAGTTTGTATAATCATAGTTCATTATTTAATCAACATTTTTAATACATTACTTAAATTTTCATAGTCTATTTTGACCTTTATTGAGAAATTAAGATTTAAATTAATTTGATGTAATTAAATTTCAAAAATCATACATATTCATGTATATAAACAATCAACATATTGCAAAAAAAGTTTTTTTTCATGTTTCAGAGGGAAAACATGGCAATAAATGATAATGTTCTGAATGCCAGTTACAAGTATGATGTAAAGAAGGTGGTATCATGCCTTTCCACATGCATTTTCCCTGATAAGACTATATATCCTATAGATGAAACAATGGTAAGTTATTTGTTATGTCATTTTGACATCTATTAATTAGCACTAACAAATCAACCGTAGTTCTCAGAAACATTAATTCAAACCACTTAGCTATGGAGGTTGTCAATTGTCATTGTCATAATAGATGTCCAATAGTACACCTGATTCCACTATTACACTTGGACTATAATACTCAATAGTTCATGATTTGTTTGCCTATGTTTCTTTTTACTATTATTGAAAAAATTATGAACATTGAATGCATACTTAATTAGGTCATGCATATAATCATGGTATCAGATTTGAGAATCACTGTGCTCATGTGCTTCCATAGGAATTTCATTGGTGCTTCAATACTGAGTATTGCGTTTTTTTATGATTTTAGGTACACAGTGGACCACCACATAATTCCAATTTCGGTTATAGCTATGCTAAACGGATGATTGACATATTAAATAGGTAAAATTAATTCTGAATTGTATTTTTTTTTTATATTTCTATACTAGATACAAATTTTCATTATCAATAGGTATTTCAGATAATCATACTGATATTATAATTTTTTATTATCTTTTAAAAATAACTTGGTGACACACAGATAGTCCATAGCCTGGATTACTTTTTACCTCACTAAAGTGTTCTAGACATAAAATTCCAAATCTCTAAGAAACAGAGATACAGTTCTGTGAATCTTAAAATTTCGAAAGTTTATATTGACTCTTGTACAGTCAACAGCATGTCAGATAACTACAAAAGATCTTTAGTCAACATAAAAAAAAAACTTGAAAGTGGTAGCTGTCACCATTGGCTTTTTTATATTGTGTGACTAACTATTTAATGCTCAAAAAATGACAAGCAAGTCTCAAGGTTGGAGCCTAGGAGCAGTGCCTTGGTAGTGTGCTATGACATTGACGGCCAGTTGCATTAACATCCTTTAATTATGACTTTAAGCTCTAATGGATGTTCTAAATTTGAGAATTTGTATGGTTATGGTTGTAGTTGTTTTCATATAAACAACTTTAAAATTAATTTCTTCTGCCTTTTTTGGAACGAGAATTAGGGCTTCCAATCCTGCATCCTGTATTCAATCCCGGTATTTGCTGGATCCTGTTATTCATTATTGAAAACTGAAATAAGTATCAAAAACACAAAAATCTACTACAAATATATTACTACTAACATTGACAAAACTAGTTTTGACTTTAATTATTTAGTTTGGTCAGTCACTGAGTGATCTCATGTCTTTCCAGTCACGCAAATCCCGTACTCCCGTATCACGGGATTGGAAAAAAGATGCGGGACCCCGCAATACCGAAATCTCGGTATTGGAAGCTCTATCGGATTAATGTGCGTTTCGTATAAAGATTTAATATACGTGTGTGCAGGGGTTATTATAGTCAACACGGGTGTATGTTCACGTCTGTGGTTCCGTGTAACGTGTTCGGTCCACACGATAACTTCAGCCTAACATCCTCACACGTCGTGCCTGCACTCATACGGCGGATGGATGACGCCATACGCGAAGGTTAGTGTTATAGAGCACGGCAGGAGAGTGTTGGGTCCGTATTTATATCATCAATTTGGAGCCCATTTATTTTATAAATATTTGACAACATCACATACATTGCTCAGTTTCCAAGATGAGTATCCCCGTATTATGGAGTATCTGAGACAACGAAGGTACCACAACACCCAGACCCGAGTCATTATAGAAAAGTTCATTTTCTACATTGACCCGACCGGGAATCGAACCCGGGACCTCAGAGATGGCGACACCATGAAACCGGCGTGCGGCACCTTGAAATCTCTTTTGTTGCTTTGTGTACGAGCCCCCATACCTAATCTTTGTATTTGTATTTTTGTATTACAGACCAACCAACATTCACAGTTCTGGGCAGTGGTAAACCGCTGCGCCAGTTCATATACTCGTTGGATCTTGCAAAACTGTTCGTCTGGGTGTTACGCAACTACGACAGTATAGAACCGATTATACTTTCAGGTGAGCTTAAAAATGAGAAATCTGATAATAATAGAATGATATTTCATACTCTTAAAATAATTTTTCAATGTGACAACTCTGAAATAAAACTAAAGAATTTGCCTTGGTTCAGTTCCTCTTTCCAGTTCTTCTCAGTACAATACACGTCTTTTATAAAAGATTTGCAAACAACAATTCTATATATAACAGTCATTGAATACATATCATTATAAACTATGAACACAGCCTAGGAGATTTTGTTTATAACCTTATTGCATGTGAGAGTTGTATTTTTTTTTAAATAAACCCCAAATTATTATACTTGAATGATAAATAACTAGTATGTCTATCACTTACAATAAAGGACCCGTGGCCTAATTCTCTAATTTTAAAATATATCTCAATCATTTTGATGTTTGAAATATATTCACGCTACAACTACGTGACGTGACTGCGATCGCGAAGTTTTTTTAAAGATATTCAATTAACGACATCGTTTAATTAACATTAATTAGACGCAAATATCTTTGAAACCTATTGTGAAACGAAATGCTTTCTGTAATCATTAGGTTTAGTTAAGTTTTTATCAAGTTTTTCATCACTCCAAGCCGACCTCCGTAGCCGAGTGGTTCGCACGCCGGTTTCAAGGTGTCGCCATCTCTGAGGTCCCGGGTTCGATTCCCGGTCGGGTCAATGTAGAAAATGAACTTTTCTATATTGACTCGGGTCTGGGTGTTGTGGTACCTTCGTTGTCTCAGATACTCCATAATACGGGGGCTTTAGCTACTCATCTTGGAATCTGAGCAATGTTTGTGATGTTGTTAAATATTTATTTATTTATTTTATTATTCGTTCCAAAAGCTACTTTAACTGTTACATAATACGATAAATTATAATCGATATACCTTTCAAAAGCATTGAGCTAGATTTTGAAATTTGATAATTAACGGACCTGCCATCCCTATATGTGATGTTGGTCAATATTTATTAACAGTGGACGAAGAAGCCGAAGTCTCAATCAGCGCTCTCGCTGAAGCTATTAAGAAGGCCCACGGTTACAGTGGACAGATAGTTTACGATACAAGTCAAGCTGATGGTCAGTACAAGAAGACAGCTTCCAACAAGAAACTGAGATCCTTATATAAAGATTTTGAGTTCACGCCCTTCGAAACAGCTATCCAGGAGACCGTGCAATGGTATAAAGATAATAGAGATTCCGCGAGAACGTAGCACCCAGGAAAATATTAAAAACGTATGCCGAAAAGAAATGTTATCAGAATTGAGGTACACTTAATTGTTTAATGCTGCCAAAATTAAAAATAATGATGCTATGTTATATATATTTTTAAACAAACAAATTGAAATACGATATTATAGATGTTTCAGTTTTTAGTGACGAAACAGTTTATTTTAAAGTCGAAGTGTTTTGAAACTGTATAAACATGCTCATTCTGCCAGTGTATGTATATAGTATATGATATAGAAATTGTTTTTAAGTATTTATTGAATAGATAAATAAATATATAACGTTGCATTTATATTTTGTTTCATTATTAATCGAGATGATGTCATCATCATCATCATCAGCCCTTTTATGTCCCCACTGCAGGGGCTCAGGCCTTCCTTATGGATGGTTAAGGAGGATGGGCCATGACCCTCCACGCTGGCCCAATGCGGATTGGAGGGTATTAACGACTGCAAATGCAGCCGGGACCAACGGCTTAACGTGCCTTCCGAAGCACGGAGTAGCTCGAGATAATTTTTGGTCACCCATCCCGTGACCGACCCCTGCGAAAGTTGCTTAACGACAACGATCGCGGGCCGCGGCGCTTAACCACTACGCCACCGAGATGATGTACTTTGTAGTAAATATCATAACGCAAAAATATTTAGGAATAAAAACTTAAAGAAAATTGCACCAATTTCAAACAAACGGGCAGGCGGAGGTCAAGGCTTCTGTAGATTATTAATTAAATGATAGGCGCCCGACTTTAATAACATTTTCTTAAATAAGTAGTTTTTGAGATAAGTGTTATTTATCTTTTTTTTTAGTTTGAGATCGGTTCATTTTTTTTAAGTTTCTATTTTATGCTTTTTAGTGATATCGATATTTTTTTAATAATAGGTAACACTAAAAATATTAAATATGTATAGGTTATAAATAAAAATATTCAATATAGTGAAAGTCTTAGAAAAAGATTTTGTTTATTTGCTCGGTATAATTTTTCCGATAATTCTATACTCATATTATAAAGAGGAAAGATTTGTTTGCTTGTTTGTTTGCATTGTATAGCCTTCGGCGCTATTGGACCGATTTATGAAAGTCTCAACTATGAGAAGCTACTTTTAATACGCGTTGGACAAGCAAAGTCGCAGGAAAACAGCTAGTCGATAGAAATTAGTTCATAATTTGCGAATAGGTCCAATATCTACTAAACCGAAAAACTTACCTTTCGGATTTTGAATGAAGTCCAATTACGCAATCTTTTGTTTTTTAGCTGTAAAGGGCCATGTCCTACCATGTCAACTAATTTTTTTTTTTTTTTTTTCTGTGTGGTAATCTGCAATCAGCATTGTATGCTTTAAGCAGATATTTTGAGTGTATCATCATTTGTAGAGTGTGTCCTCCAGTGAGAACAGCTACTCGTAGTTTTTATCATCCATCAGATTTGTTACAAGTCCAGGATGTCCTTTCTTTTAAGGCGCTTATTGTAGCTTCGATTTATTAGCTTTGCTGCCAGTTCATTTGGATGTCGTTTCAATCTGTCTGTGTAATTTTGTGTGTAATTTTGGATTTCTTCCTTCACAGTATTCATTCTTAGATATTTGTGGATTTCAGTGTTGGCTATGAACCACGGCACATTACTTAGAGATCGAAGTATGGCATTTTGTGCTCTTTGTAGTACTGAAATGCTGGAATTGCTAGCGCTTCCCCATAACTGGATTCCATAAGCCCAGACAGGCTTGAGAAATGTTTTGTAGATTAATAGCTTATTGTCAATAGACAACTTGCTGTTTCTTCCCAAGATCCAGGATAAGTCTTTATAGCGAATATTTAATTCATTTCTCTTGGTTTTGATATGATGGTTCCACGTGAGCCGTCGATCAAGATGTAGGCCAAGGTATCGCACTTTTTCATGGTGAGGAAGTGGTAAGTTTTCGAGTTTTACTTGAGGACAATTTCCAGTTCTGAGAGTGAATGTGACCTGTACCGATTTGGAGGCACTTGCTTTAATTTTCCATTTCTCTAACCATTTTGTGATTGCGTCTAGTCCAACTTGCAAGATTTGTGATGCAGCAATAGGATCTTTGCTACTAGCTAAAATTGCCGTGTCATCAGCGAATGTGGCTGTTGTGATTCCCTCTATTTGTGGAAGATCTGCTGTATAGACAGTATATAGGACCGGCCCCAGGACTGAACCTTGGGGAACACCAGCTTTGATCTCAAAGAATTTGGAGGTTTTATCTTTTTCTTTGACTTGGAAGATCCGTTCAGAAAGGTAAGAGCTCATAAGGGTGTAGAAGCTATGAGGAAGGCTGGTGCGTAGTTTACAAAGTAGGCCCTTGTGCCAAACTCTGTCAAAGGCCTGTTGTATGTCCAGAAAAGCAGACGAGCAGTATTCTTTTTCCTCTAGTGTTCTCCGTATCCTGTCAACAACGCGATGTACCTGTTCAATGGTTGAGTGTTGATGTCTAAACCCAAACTGGTGACTGGGTATTATCTTTGTGGCCTCTAATATTGGCAGTATTCTTTTCAAGAGTAATTTCTCAAACAGCTTAGATAGTATTGGGAGTTGGCTGATAGGTCTGTATGATGTGACATTGTTAGCTGGTTTACCTGGTTTATGTATCATTTGAATTTGTGATACTTTCCACAGGTTAGGGTAGTATTGTACTCTTAGAACACCATTGAATAGGATAGTTAAAAAGACAATAGCTTTTTGCGGTATTTGTTTTAGAATTTCTTTTGTGATAAGGTCAAATCCGGGAGCTTTTTTGTCTTTGAGGTCCGCTATCATTCTCCATACCTCTCTTACTGTTACAGGAGCTGGTGGTGGCGACATTGGAAGGTCTTGATTGAAAGTCGTATCGACTTCGCTTTCATTTTCAGAATTACTTATTTCATTTGGACAAAATACTTCAGCTAGGTGTTCAGCAAAAATATCAGCTTTTTCTTGAGAAGTTCGTGCCCAGCCATTATTTTTTCTGAGCGGTGGTTTAGGTAGTTGTGGTCTATCGTAGTTTTTAGTAAATTTCCATAAAGAATAATTTGTTGATACTGTAGGAGTCAATGATTCTAGTTGTGTTTGTAAGGTGCTATTGTGCCAGTGTTGAAGCATTTGTTTTAGTTTTTTAGCTTCTTTGTTAAAGAGTTTCTTATCTTCATCAAGCCTACTTAAATGCCAGACTCTTCTCTTTTCAAGGACAGCATTCTTTATTTCGAGGGGATAATTGGAGTGTCTTGTATAGCACATTTCGTCTGGAGTGTTTAGCCAGCAAGCCTTTTGTATAAGACATGTTATGTGTTTTGCCGCGTTTTCTATATCCTCTGCTGTTTTGAGGGCAATTTTGAGCTCAATCTTTTCATCAACAAACTCTCTGAAAGATTTCCAGTCGGTATTTCTATTATAAAGAGTATTTGGTCTGTGATATTCTATTAAAAGTGAGCTTACAGTCAATAGCACAGGTGTATGATCTGAGTAACTGTCATAACATGATTCGGGTTTTAGGTAGTGCTTCGAAAGGCCCTTCGTGATATAAAAATCGACAAGGTCCGGAGTTTTATTTGGGTCTGTCGGCCAGTAGGTTGGCTCTCCAGTGGAGATTGTTAGCAGCCTGTTATTGTTGACGCTTTTTTTTAATTCCCTTCCTCTGGTAGTAATAAGTCTGGATCCCCAATGAGTGTGCTTGGCGTTCCGATGATAAAACGGGTCCCAAGCGTTTTAAAGAACTCGTCATACATAATATTAGATATTTTATGTTTAGGGGGGCAGTATATTGCAGACACATTAAGATGGCCAGTGTTGTCTTCAATAGAAATTGTGGTGGCTTGAATATGTTGTGTTCTATATTCGGGCATAAGGTAATGTTTAACTGTTTTTCTTACGATTATTGCTGTGCCTGCATGCCCTGTGCAATCTGGGAGTAATGTCACATAGCACTGGTAATCCTTAAACTTGATATTAGAAGCTTCGGTGCAATGGGCTTCTGAAACTAGTAGTATATCTAGTTTGTAGTTATTTAATAGGAGCTCAACCTCATGTTTATTTGGTGTTAATCCATTTGTGTTCCAGGTTCCTAGTCTTATCGCAGTCATTTTGAGGTCTTGGCGAGGTGGTTGACAAGTGTAGTTAGGAGACTCATCAGAGTACTCATTTGTTCTAGAATAAGTTCGAACTTTCGTTTGTCTCGTGAGTAATACTTCAATATTATTACTGGATTCCTTGCTATTTCCAAATTTTACAGCTTCGGAGAACGATTTGTGTGGATCTTTGGTCGGTATGTGCCCTTCTGGCATACATGAGAGTGTTGGTTGCTGTAGATTTATGAGATGTTGCTGCTGCGGCCGCTCCACCTTCGATTGTCTATTGAAGGTTTTTTTCCTTGCAATGATTTCCTTGTACACCTCGCAGCCCTTGTAGTTTGCAGGGTGGGGTCCATCACAAAGAACGCACTGGGCTGGTGTATTCCTGTCTTGTTTTGGGCAATCGGAGGTTTTATGAGGCTGAGTACATTTCACGCAGCGATATGGTCTCATACAGTAGTTTTTTGAGTGACCATACTGCTGACACCGGATAAACCAACTAAATATTTGGGTGATATTTGGTGAAAAGTGTATTTTGTTTTGTTATAAATGTAAAACTACTGATTAGATTTCGATAAAATCGAATGGACCACCCCTTAAATTATTGTTGAATTTAGTATTGCATAAATTAATTATGAAAAACATATATTTTGTACTCGCTGTCACGTGACCACAAACAGTGCGTGACGTAACGCCGGTCTTACTTACATAGAACGATATTAACGTCATTGCGACGACATAACAGAAGTTGTTAAAGTTAAATTTATTTATAGATTTTAAACTTATTAAACGAATGACACTTTTTAAATATTTTTTAGATATATTTCATGTATATCTATAAAATAAAAATATAAAAAGTTGTCTACATCCCTATTATAATGTATTAACGAACAGAACAAAACAAAGGGTCAGATCACTTGCAACCAATATTGGACTTTATGTCTAATAAGTAGAGGTTCTATCTACCTATTTATTAATATATTCATTTGCTCGATTGTATACATTGGGCTTTTTGTAGTAGATTGTCTGTCTTACTATCGACTGTATTGCATTATAATTCCGATATTTTAATAAAATGCAAAATATCA